CTGCCCATGTTTTCTCCTCATGTTCCACCAAAATCGACTCTCCTGTAGTCTAAGCCAATAAAATTCGAGCCATTCCTCCTTTGAGATCTTGAGCGCCATGTTTTGAAACAAGTGAAGTACGCAGGTTACATACGCTTCAGGTTACAGACTCCACTAACCCAGAAATAGTGCTTCAGGTTAAGAACTTTGCTTCAGGATGAGAACAGAAATTGTGCTCTTGCGGCGCAGCAGCAGCGGGAGGCCCCATTAGCTAAAGTGGTGCTTCAGGTTAAGAACAGTTTCAGGTTAAGAACGGACCTCTGGAACGAATTAAGTACTTAACCTGAGGTACCACTGTAATACACATTTCCTCATAAAAGGGGGGCTGGGTTGAAAGAACTAGGGTCTTAAGTTACCTAATTGTACCACTAATCAAATAGCAAGATTCAAATCCCTAACTAAACTTAAGCCTGGAAATGGTAGAAAGTAAGAGGAACCAAAATTGCCAGATGCATCCTCCATCTGGACTTCCCACCAGAGCTAGGCCCCCTTGTGTGTAAAAGTGGAAGGAAAGGTCACCAGCTTAGAGGTTGGTTCCTTTGTCTGAAGTGGTGATGGAAAGGGTGGCTTTCAGTCTTCATCTGAGTCCCTTGAAGAGAGAGCCATAACTGGCAGTGTGTCTTGATCTAACCTGCCAATTTTGACACATGGAAAGCCAAAGTATGGTACAAAACTCAGAAAACAACCCATCCTGGTTCATTTATAATAACAATAAAAATTTATTATTTATACCCCGCCCATCTTGCTGGGTTTCCCCAGCCACTCTGGGTGGCTTCCAGCAGAATATTAAAATACAATAGTCTATTAAACATTAAAAGCTTCCCTAAACAGGGCTGTATTCAGATGTCTTCTAAACGTCCGATAGTTGTTTTTCTCTTTGACATCTGGTGGGAGGGCCTTTCACAGGGCAGGTGCCACTACTGGGAAGGCCCTCTGCCTGATTCCCTGTAACTTGGCTTCTCGCAGCGAGGGAACCACCAGAAGGCCCTCAGAGCTGGACTTCAGTGTCTGGGCAGAATGATGGGGGTGGAGATGCTCCTTCAGATATACTGGACCGAGGCCGTTTAGGGCTTTAAAGGTCAGCACCAACAGTTTGGGAATGGCCGTACCTGTTGTACAGGTCACTAGAGCATGTACCATTCTGGCAAGATAGTCTGCAGGCAGATAGGGTCTCAGCCTGCGTACCAGATGGAGCTGGTAAACAGCTGCCCTGGACACAGAATTGACCTGCACCTCCATGGACAGCTGTGAGTCCAGAATGACTCCCAGGCTGCGCACCTGGTCCTTCAGTGACACAGTTTCCCCATTCAGGACCAGGGAGTCCGCCACACCTGCCTCACACTTTTCCCCCAATGTGTTCACCAAGCAAAAATAGGTTCAACAGATAGCGTTTTACTGTGCTTTCTAGCCACATTTCCTAACTCTGTGAACAAAAGACAAATGATTAAACCACCTCTAAAATTACTTATGCACATACTCACCTATTTTGCAATGTTTACTGCCCTTTAGCAAATATGTTATTTGGGTTGATTCCAAAGTTTCTGCAGGCACATTTTTTTTTAGTTAAGTAAACAAGGTAGCCCAGAGTTGGACTGAGGGGAAATGTTTGGGAATTGTGTTCAGATAATGTTTTTCACCCCCCCCCCATGTTTCTTGATCAGAAATCCATGTTCAAACCAAATGCATGGGGGATAATGCATTCTCATATATTATCTTTACTTCTTGCCTGGGGTAGCAGTATATATTAGCCTGTTGTTGTTTAGTCGTTTAGTCATGTCCGACTCTTCGTAACCCCATGGACCAGAGCACGCCAGGCACTCCTGTCTTCCACTGCCTCCCACAGTTTGGTCCAACTCATTCTTGTAGCTTCGAGAACACTGTCCAACCATCTTGTCCTCTGTCGTCCCCTTCTCCTTGTGCCCTCCATCTTTCCCAACATCAGGGTCTTTTCCAGGGAGTCTTCTCTTCTCATGAGGTGGCCAAAGTATTGGAGCCTCAGCTTCACGATCTGTCCTTCCAGTGAGCACTCAGGGCTGATTTCCTTAAGAATGGATAGGTTGGATAGGTTGGATCTTCTTGATTAGCCTAGTGGGTTAAAAATAGTGTCTCCTTCCCTTTGCCTCAAGGAAAGTCATAGAAAAGAAGGCCCCCTTTGTCCCTTAAGATGTACTTTGAGTTTCTTAGCCATTTAAAAAACCATAAATTAGTAAAGCATCTCTTGCTTCATTGTATCACCTTGCTTTGACACACAGACCCCCAAACTTTTAATCGCTTCATTCTATGATTGGCCTTTGGTTTGGTCTTCCACCTGTTTCTGAAATTTTGGGTACTTGCCTCAGCAGAATAGGGTTGTTGAGCTTTTTTTGGGAACATCTCAAAAATGTGGTGTCCCCCCATCATTTTTCTTTAAAAAATCACCCTAGTTGCCATATGCCCAGATTTTCCTGGACATTTTGCTGATTCAGCAAAAATCTGCCCGGACGCCATTTTGACAGTCTGATTCCCGGACACGTCCAAGAAAACCCAGATGTATGGCAGTCCCAGACAAGGAATTCCTGGGCTGACTTCCACAAACCAGGTTGGCTGACCTATTGAAGAGCAAATCTGTAAACATGAGAAATGGTGTTGATTCGCCTTCTGAGAAGAATCCTTTTGCCTGAGGATACAGATGGTGCCAGGGTAACTGGGTGTGAGGTGACAGGAAAAGGGAGTCTTTTAGCAAGGTGTTCTGGGAAGAAGAAACGAGAGAAGAAAAACTGGGATCCATCTTAGGCAGGTTGGCTGAAGGCTGGCTAGGAGAGATCCCTTGGACTCCAGGGCTGCACTGCTATAAGAAGCCCCTCTTGAAATAAAAATGCTGAAAGTGTAAATAGGCGAATAAACCATATTTCTTAAAGCTACAACAGTGTCCTCCGTGTCTCAGTTGTCCAAAGGAACACAGGTCCAGGGTGAGTGCCTGGAACCCCCTGTGATCTTGCTACTGCTCTGCAGAAACAGGGGGAGGCCCCCAACTCTTGTAACACTGAGCATTTTCAGGGAACCAGGAAGACACTGAAGGAATTAGAGATGGACGAATATGTCCATTTTGGTTTCTCTCGCCTTGTTTTTCTAATTCGAAGTTCAGTTCTCCACATTTCCACATCAATTTGCTATTTTTTAAAAAATGTGTTTTTATTAAATATTTTCGTGGTTTACAAAAGTATCTGCAATCCTCTCTCTTTTTTTTCTTCAAGTAACATTTTTTACAGATCAGTTTCATTTGTTGAGACATTAGGTAGAAAAGGGGGAAAGAGGTGGAGGGGGAAAGATGGGTGGGGTTGGGTGGCGATGTTTCTATTATACTTAATATATATGGGGTTTTGTGTCAGCGTCACTTGTGCAGGTTCTCTGCTATTCACTTGTGTTTCTTTGGTGGTGAGAGAGGTTGGGGTTGGCCTCGTGTGTGGTTGCTTGTTTGTGATTGGCTGTGGTGATCTTTGTTTTCATGTGTGAGTGGAGTGGGTGTTTTGGATCAGGTTAGTCATATTGATTTGTATGCTGCTGGTGGATTTTTGTCATTGTCTTATTGGGCTGTGTATGTGATAAAGGGGAGCCATACCGGGGTGAAGGCGTCTTCTTATATTTGTCCCCATGTCAGTTTTAGTTTATTGGTTAATTTTTCTAGTAAGGCTGTTTCCCATACTATTTTGTACCATTGGTCCATGCTTACTCCTGACAGGTCTCTCCAGTGTCTGGTTATGAAGTTTCTGGCTGCTGAATGTAGGTGGGTTATGAGTTCTTTGTGGTGTAAATGGGCATTATTGTCTTGGAAGATGTTTAGTAGGGCCAATTCTGGGGTGATTTCTAATATTTGCTTAGTTATTTTACACATTTCTCGTATGACTGTTGTCCAGAATAGTTGGATTTTGGGACACCCTCACCACATGTGGAGGCATGTGCCTGTGGAGGTGCACCCTCTCCAGCATTTTGGTGAGGTCCTTTTTTTTCTTTTCTTTTTTAGAGTCAGGCACTTGCTCTGTATTATTTTCAGCACTTGCTAAATAGGCAAGCCTATATAATTCTGACATGCAATTTTATTTTATCATGTACCTTAAAAACAACAAAACTGCTTCTCCTCTGTTCTCCCATAGGATGTTTGGGCTTGATTAAGGGGCCCCTTACCTGCACCCCAAGCGATGAGGGTGGCGCTGTGGTCTAAACCACAGAGCCTAGGACTTGCCGATCAGAAGGTTGGCGGTTTAAAGCCCCATAACGGGGTGAGCTCCCATTGCTCGGTCCCAGCTCCTGCCAACCTAGCAGTTCGAAAGCACGTCAAAGTGCAAGTAGATAAATAGGTACCGCTCCAGTGGGAAGGTGAACAGCGTTTCTGTGCGCTACTCTGGTTCGCCAGAAGCGGCTTGGTCATGCTGGCCATGTAACCCGGAAGCTGTCTGCGGACAAAGGCCAGCTCCCTCGGCCTATAGAGCAAGATGAGCGTGCAACCCCAGAGTCATCCATGACTGGACCTAACGGTCAGGGGTACCTTTACCTTTACCTGCACCCCAAACCCAGTTTGAGCACTGGACTATTTAGATTGGCTGGGACACATTGGTCAGCTTAATGTCTGAGAGAGGGGCTAGGAGGCTAAAGGAAGAACAGCAGATTGAGTGATTATATTATCGGGTTGGGGGGGGGGGCTTTTTTCACCATTTTCCAAAGCCAATAAGGATACATTTCTACTTCCGCTTCCAGCCAGCCAAGCCAAGCCAAGGAGACCAGGCTGTTCTCATGGGATGGGGGCTTGAGGCTGTTCAGTGGGGTGTCAATTAGGCAGGCATAAATCTGCAAAATGTTTGCATGGAAAGCCAGATCTTTGGAGCATTGCATCAGGAGCATTGAGGGTAGCTGCATGGCCATGTGGAACCTAGCCAGGACGTCAGTTTCTGATTAATAAATAACAGTGTGCACACAGGTGTGCATTGGTCTCAGTGTGCAGAACTTTTTTCAAAAGAAGATGCATCTCTTGCTAGAGATCCCTGTGTTTTTTCTTGTAGTCCTCTACTCCTATTTAGAAGCTCTTGTCAAGCTTTTCATTCCCGTGAAGGAAAAATGTGTCAGCGGACAAATTGTTCTGATCACTGGATCCGGCCATGGGCTTGGGAGAGCCACTGCTTATGAATTTGCGAGGCGTCAATGCAAGTTAGTTCTGTGGGATATCAACAAGGTATGATTGCTTTATTACTAGGATTAGAGCTGGGTTAGTCTACACTGACTGGACCTTTTTCAATAGCATCCTCTAAAAGAATTCTAACTGGTTTTTGAGGCCCTTTCCCAGTGAGCTTTCAATCCCTTTCCACTTCTAGAATGGCGTTGAAGAAACTGCTGAAGAATGCAGGAGGCTGGGAGTCACAGCGCATGCTTTTGTGGTGGACTGTAGCAAGAAAGAGGACATCTACAGCGCTGCAGAGAAGGTGAGCCTTCAGATTCCCCCAAAGGCTTCCCCAACCTGCTATTATGCCAGTATCCTAAAGTTCAGCTCCTGCCAACCTAGCAGTTCGAAAGCACGCCAGTGCAAGTAGATAAATAGGTACCACTGCGGTGGGAAGGTAAACGGCGTTTCCGTATGCTCTGGTTTCTGTCACTGTGTTCCATTGCTCCAGAAGTGGTTTAGTCATGCTGGCCACATGACCCGGAAAGCTGTCTGTGGACAAACGCCGGCTCCCTCAGTCTGAAAGCGAGATGAGCACCACAACCCCATAGTCACTTTTGAAAGGACTTAACTGTCCAGGGGTCCTTTAGCTTTTTACCTAAAGTTCAGCAAATTATTAAATATTGCTATTTGTTATTTATATAATATCGCTATTTGTGCACACCCTCCTCCTCCTTTGGCAATCACTCGTAGCCGATTAAGATTGTCTTCCATAAACACGGTTTTAACAATGAGTCCGTAAGTGACTGTGGAGGCCAATTCTGGATCCACACGTCCTTCCACAGTGGGGACATAGGTTTCCGGGCGGGAGTTGATCACGGTGTGGATTTGCCAAGTGTGCCTTCCTCTTAGCATACTTCTCCCTTGCGTCCTGAGTTTGAGTGTCTTTGGTAAAGGCTATTCTCCAACTGAAGCATTCACAGGCCAGTGTTTCCCAATTGTCAGTGTTTATACTACATTTTTTAAGATTTGCCTTGAGACAGCCTTTAAACCTCTTTTGTTGACCACCAGCATTACGCTTTCCCTTTTTAAGTTCGGAATAGAGTAGTTGCTTTGGAAGATGATGATCAGGCATCCGCACAACATGACCAGTCCAATGAAGTTGGTGTTGAAGAATCATTGCTTCAACACTGGTGATCTTTGCTTCGGCCAGTACACTGATATTAGTTCGCCTGTCTTCCCATGAACAGGAATGGTAGGAGTGGTAAATCACTGTCAAAGATCACTGAAATGGAGGCCTTGATAATGCCACTGCTAGGGTTTTGCCAACAGCATCAGCTTACTACATTTTTTAGCGATAGCTGATCCATGGCCATTTGATGTACCTTTGGGGACTATTAATTTGGTGTGTATTTATTATTGGTTGCTTAACATGCAGGCCTGTCATTTCTTTCACTGGACTGTATTTGAATGGTAATTGTTATGTACTGAAGTTCTCACCCTGAGCCAGCAGGGGGATACTGTAGATAGTTATGCAAATGAAGGATCGAAAGTGACGTTCAGTGATTGGATAGTTTGTATGCAAATGAAGGATCGAAAGTGACGTTCAGTGATTGGCTAGATACAGAAAATGGTTACTGTTGCATTCTAGTGGAGCTCTATATAAGCAGGCTGACTGAGCTCCTCAGTTCAGTTCTGTTCCAGCTTACAAATAAAGAGCTGCTTTGGAAGAATCGCTGTGTCGTCTGATATGTTCGCCCACAACTTAACAGTAATGGTTTTCATTTCATATTATTGCTAGCTGATGAAGATTTATCATTGAAACAGTTCATTATCCTGAAAGATCTTTGATCTTTGACCTTTGACAGTGACCTACCACTCCCACCATTCCTGTTCATGGAACATTTATTTGATTCTTATTAGTTTGTGACTCCATGCACATATTATATGTCTTCTGTTTATGAATTTTGAAACAGTATAGTGTTATAAAAATATTGTCTGTATATTATTAGCTGACTTGTTGCTTGTTGTTGTTTAGAGTGTTCTGATTTGCAACACACGGGATTTTCTTTGGGTTATACCAAGTCAGATCATTGGACTTTCTAGCTCAGTATTCTCCACAATGATTGGGAGTAGTTCTCCAGAGTTTTGAGCAGGAACATTTACCAGCCCTTCCTGGAATTGTTAAGGATTGAGCCTGAGACCTTCTGAGGTGTTACACATATCTAGGCTTCATTATCAGCTTAGCAGCAGGAATGCTTGGGAAATGGTAGGTTGCATGCAAAAGATTTAAAGGAAAACATGCCCATAGCTTCTTGTGCAAGATGGTTTCTCATTCTCATTCCATTTGTTTTATATTAAGTAAGCGGCGTTGCAAAGAGAGGTGTCTATTGCTCGTTGGCAGCTAGCCAAACTGCAGAGATATATTCAGTGGAGATTTGTGCATTAGGTCTCCCAGGGCAATGCACCAGTAAAAAAATAAAATATTTTTTAAAGTCCTGCACTATCTCAAAACCAGGCTCTTTCTCCTACCATCAAATCCTTCCACTTCACCTGAGAGAAACCCGTGGAGACATTTCTGTCCCTCTCCTCTTCTCCGGAGAATCAGCTCTCTGCACTGCTCAGACTGGAGATCCCTCCCTGGTGGAGAGTTCTGGAGAGCTCAAAAATCTTGTTCCTAGTTTCGCGAAACTTTGTTTACTCCTAATAAATGCATTGCCCTTTTAAACCATCATCATAATCTTATTTGTATGTTGCCTTTCCATAGTAAAAACCATGCACAAGGCAGCTTACATGAAAAGATTTACATAAATACAAGTATAATGAAATTAGCCAAAAACAATTAACAAAACACATCACAAAGAACACAACCAAACTGAACAACTTCCACATAAATCATGAGATCTAAAAAAAATTATCAATAACAGCAAAAACAAAAAAACCCAACAACCCCACCCCGAAACAATACCCCGGCCAAAGAGTCTGTTCAGCAGCTTCAGCTTTTGTAGCTGGAGTCAGTCTGGAACCCTCCCTCCCAGGCCAGGTGGGAAAAGGCCTGAAAGGCAGGGAGCAGGTCTTCCAGGACTCACAGCCAAGATGGAATAATAAATGGAATAAAAACAGCCAATAATGAAAATAATGGACCAACTGGACTTCTTATGCTTTTTGTTTTAATTAGGGGTTCAGGACAAGATCCTGTCAAAGTTAAGCACTTTCCCTAACCCTAACCCTATTGACTTCAATGGGGGGGGAAAGAAATTTAACAATAAAAAATTGCTTTATGCTACAATCTAGTACCCACCTGCCTGGGAGCAAGCCTTATTGAACTCCATAGGATTTCATTCGGGGTAGACATGCATAGAATGGCACTGTTATGACTTCATTAACCCACTCAGCAGGGTCAATGACAAAGGTGAGTCATTCAAACCTACCTGTCCATACTCACTGGCGATAGCAAAATGAATATGAGAAATTCAAGAAAGTTGCAATCCTGGCACATACGCTTGTGGAGATTGAGGCACAGGATCATCCTACATTTCTGCATAAAATTTGAATGTGCTTATTTATATTTACAGTATTGATGCCCCTGGGAAAGGAAGGCATTGAGCAGCTGCTAAAGGTGTTCTGTGCTGACCCTGTGCTTTGCAGTGTGTCCAACCACCATATAAGCAAACTAATGTGTTTTTTTTTTTTAAGTTTCTAAAGAGAGGATCTAGGCCAGGGGTGTCAAACTCAAATTCATTGGGGGCCGCATCAGCAGTTTGGTCACCCTCAAAGGGCCGGTTGCGCTCAATATAAAAACAAGTGGAGGTTTCCTGAATGCATGTAAAGTGGAGGTTTCCTGTGTAGAACGGCTGGCGCCGCTAGAGGGCAGACGTTCTCTGGCTTGTAGGCTGCCGCGCATGCGCTGAAGAGGCAGCTTTCTTGTGTCAAAAAAAAACCAAAACGAGAATAAAAGGTGAAGGCTGGCGGCCGGCGGCGGCTACACGGGCCACATGATGAGGTCTGGCGGGCTGGATTCGGCCCGCGGGCCTTGTGTTTGACACCCGTGATCTAGGCAATACAGAGCTTGCCACAAAAGACTCGGGGGCTCATGCCCTAAAACCCTAATCTAACCTCCTGTAATCTGTAATTTTATTATTATTATTATTTGCATTTATTCATTCCATACATCATAAAATGACTCAGGGCAGCTAAACACCTCTGCCCTATATTACTCCCTTTCTTTTAAGGTGAGAAAGGAGATTGGTGATGTGGACATCTTGATGAACAACGCTGGGGTGATCTCCCCAACAGACGTGCTGTCAACTGAGGATCAAGCCATCCAAAAAATGTTTGAAGTCAACATCCTTGCTCACTACTGGGTAATAAAGAATCATTAAGCACAGCCTTGTTGCAAGAACAGCCCTATGAGCACATCATTGTGTAATGGGAGGTACTGACAATGCTTGCCATGATCTCCTGCAGCCTTCAGGCAACCTACTGGCCTCCAGATTACTTGAATGACAAGCTTTCATGGTAGTCCTGGCAGGGGCTGATGGGAGTTGTAGTTCAAAACATTTGGAAGGTGCCATGCTGGCGAAAGGGCGGACTACTCTCTCACATGGATAATGTTGGAGCGTTCCCATGAGTGCCACAGGGCAGGCTGGTGTTATGTTGTTGGAAAAGGCGATCATCTCCCCCGCCCCCCAGTTATATTTTATTAAATTTTCAAAAACAATCACATATACACTCCAATATATAATATTTCTTTTCTTTTCTTTTGCTGGCTTCCCACCCCAATTTCCATCATCTGATGTGACATTACACCTGAATGAAAAGATGCAGCGTGGTTCAGCGCTGTTTTATTAGCACAGCGCAGCACTATTTCATTTTTATTTCTGCATCTGGTTTGCAAATTTATACCATAAATTGTTCTGCTCATCCTATGGATTGAAGAAGTGTGATATTAAATAACGCATGTACATAAAGAACTAGGGTCCTTGCTCCTTGCCCCTCCGCACTGTAATTGCCACTTGGACTTGGAAGACGGGAGAGTGAAACCTACGTGACTGCATTGGCCCCTACGGAATAAAACCCACTTCAGAATAAATAAAGGAAACTAAGAACAAACAAACCTGAAACAACAGCAGAGCTGGTCCAACAGTCGCTACCTGCTTTACTAAATGGCTGACTTCTCTGGAAAGTTACCAGGGCCGTCTTACCCATAGGTGCTAGGGGTGCAGGGCACCCGGGCGCTGGGCTTTCAGGGGTGTCAGGACGAGATTTGGAGTCCGGGGATTGGGAAGAGCCGACAGCCGCTGCCGAGTGGAGCAGATCCCATCGGAGCGCCGCAGCTCTTCCGCAGGCCAGCGAGCGCTGAGGCAGCTGGCTGGCTCTGCCTTCCTGTGCGCCTGGGATTGGTGGGCCATTAAGAGGCCCGCCCAGCCACTGCTGGCTCGGGCTCCTCTGTTGCTGCTGAGATGGCTGTCCTAAGGTGGACCTTGCCGGCCCGTCCTAAAAAAAGGTCAACAACTCTGGGCAAGCTGGAGGGGAGGGTTGCTGGGCGGATCTTTGCACCCCGGTGACGCATATGCTTAAGTCAGCCCTGAAAGTTACCCCCCTTTCTTTTTAAACTTTCAGACCGCAAAAGCATTTCTACCGACCATGATGAAGAACAACCACGGACATATCATCACCGTGGCTTCTGCTGGGGGACACGTAGTGGCTCCATTCCTCGTGGCTTATTGGTGCGTATTTAGGAGAGACATTTCCCCATCAGCAGAAATAAAAGAAGCCATAAAATAATACCCTACTCTTATTAAATTTGTGAGTAAATTTACCTGTATTGGTTTTATTTACCCCACAACTGATTTTATATGGAATCTTACCTTTTGAGAAATGAAGCTTATAGGAAGAATACTTTGGATGAGATCCAGCTTTTTCTTCCTCCCCTCTCCCAGTGTGCACCCCAGAAATGTTTTCCCGAGGGTCCCCCAGCTATCTGGAGGACATTCTGAGTGAGTGTGAGGAGCAGTCACAGAGAGGACGGGGTGTGTGTGTGTTCTGTTGTGCAAGTGGACATTTGCCACACAAACCGAATGGCAGTTCCCATTCTAAATGCAGCTCTTGCTCCTGTTTCAGAAGCTGCACCCGTGGATTCCCAATGGTGTGGTGCCATTTTCTGGGAGCATGAAAGTCTGTGGTGTGGAAGGCAAGGGTTCAGAAGTTCTGGAATTCAGGCAGAAGCTCTTTGGACTACATCATAAGTGTCCAGCCAATGCCAATACATACTTGAAGTCCATGAGCTTGCGATTCTTAATTTATATACAGTGGTACCTCAGGTTGCAGATGCTTCAGGTTACAGACTCTGCTAACCTGGAAGTAGTACCTTGGGTTAAGAACTTTGCTTCAGGATGAGAACAGAAATCGCACGGTGGCAGCAGGAGGCCCCACTAGCTAAAGTGGTACCTCAGGTTAAGAACAATTTCAGGTTAAGAACGGACCTCCAGAACGAATTAAGTTCTTAACCCGAGGTACCACTGTACTAGGGACGCAGGTGGCGCTGTGGGTTAAACCACAGAGCCTAGGACTTGCCGATCAGAAGGTCGGCAGTTCGAATCCCTGTGACGGGGTGAGCTCCTGTTGCTCGGTCCCTGCTCCTGCCAACCTAGCAGTTCAAAAGCATGTCAAAGTGCAAGTAGATAAATAGGTGCCGCTCCGGCAGGAAGGTAAACAGCGTTTCCGTGCACCGCTCTGGTTTGCCAGAAGCGGCTTAGTCATGCTGGCCACATGACCCGGAAGCTGTCTGCGGACAAACGCCGCCCCCTCGGCCAATAAAGCGAGATGAGCGCCGCAACCCCAGAGTCGGTCACGACTGGACCTAATGGTCAGGGGTCCTTTACCTTTACCTTTTTACCACTGTACTGCTTCTTGGACCAGAGGTCCCCACTTTGGTGAACAGCGCATTGATGCCACCAAAGATACAATGAAAGCACCATTAAATGCAATAAGCCAATCATTTGTCAAAATTATGATACATGTAAGGCAGTGGAATCACAGCATCGGGCAGGGGTGGGGAAATTGTGACCCTCCATATGTTGCTGGACTCTCAACTCCCATCAGTCCTGGTCAGCATGGCCAATATAGTGAGGGATGATGGGAATTGCAGTCCAGCAACAGTTGACGCACCACCATTTCTCGATCCCTGATGCAGTAGGAGAAGAATAAAATAATTCCCTCCCAAACTAAAGGATTACAGAGTGCTCTCGCCATTTCCACATCCCACATGCTTAGGAGCTAGAAACCTGAGCCCAGTCAACAAGAGATCACCATAACCATAGTCATCTTACTTTAACCAGAGGAATTGAGTGGTGCTTGATTGCTAACCTAAAGCTAATTCTCATGACCCTGGGATTGCTGAGTGGGCGAAGATTTCACTGAATATCCAAATCCCAGTTGGCCAAAATGTGCTTCCAGTAGCTGAACAGCAGTTGAGTGGCAAAAGCACATGCATGCATTGTAAAATTCGCATGTAGGAGTAAATATACAAACAATTTGAAAAGTAATTTTAATGAACAGATTGCGCTAGTAGGATTGCAAGAAGTTTTGTAAGGATGATTATTTGAAATATTGCAAGAAAGACTATGAGGAGAACTATTAGTTAATGATAATAAAGAGTAATAGAGAAGTTAAGAAATGCAGAATAAGTGATAAAGAACAGAAAATCATCAGAGGTGTTGACGGAAGTCTAAAATATTGTATAAGACAAGAAGTTATATTATATGATTGTTGGAGATGATATGTTAAAAAAACTAATAAAAATGTATATTTAAAAAATATAAAATTAGCATGTGGAGAAGCAGCTCATAAGTCTACTCTATAACAAATACAATCACTCCATATGTGTAGGTCTGAGGTTCGTGAGGGCCGACAGCTCTAAAACAGCTGCATGTTGTCCCTGAATATTTGTGAAGTTTCATGTGAGATTTGTATTGTATAGAAGGCAATCATGATCATCCAGCCACTAAGCTATGTCCAAAATTTCTCGTAGCTCGTCCAAATTCGCCGCAGTTGGGCTCCACCGAGCTCTGACAGAAGAGCTGTCTGCATTGAAGAAAGACGGGGTCAAGACTTCATGCATCTGCCCTATGTTTATAAATTCTGACTTTGTCAAAAATCCGTCGTCAAGGTACTGAATAAGAAAGGTGTGACATTGACATTTAGAAAAATCCAATGTTAAAAGTGCCCTTTTGTAGTGCCAGCCATTTAGTCCTTCCTTTCCTTTTGTTCCATCTATTGCTGTGTCCCAGATGTCTTTTTTTTTATTGAACATTCATGATGATTTGTGCTTATCAAGATGTTATTTTGGCGGTTGTCAGGGAACTGCCATCGGAGCCAGGGGGAGAGGGAGGGCTCCAGAGGGATTCCGGAGAGCGTCCCGGGAGGGAGAGAAGCAGCACATCTTCTGGGGAAGGAAATCAGCGTAGCACCAGTGGAGAAGGGGGGCAGATGGAGGAATTGGCGAGGTGGCTCCATGACTCCTCGCCGGGGACCAGCGGGGAGAGCACGGGTCCTCCGCTGCCCACACCCTCCCTGCGCAGAAGGCTTCCGCGCAGGGAGAGTAGGCGGAGACTAGGCGTCAAAGAGCTTCTTTGCTGGAAGAAGTTCAAGAAACGCCCACTGACGGATTCTGCCAGCGATTGAGACAGCCACGGGCGAGTGGCTGTCCGGACAGAAAGGGTTCACTCAGGCAACCCAGCCAGGTGTGGCTCCGATTTACGCACGAGCAACCCCTAGAACCATTACAGCGGTCATACATAATATCACTTTCAATACTCTTTTTGCAGGTCATACTGCTTCATTTCCAACAGTAACTTCCTGCTGAAATCCTGTAACTTTTCATGCCACAGATTATATCGGTGGCATGGCTTGGTTTTTTGTCGTGCTTTCCAGACAGCAATAATGTGGTAGGTGGTATTGGGGAAGCGTCGCAGAACAACAAATAAAGCAAAATAAATCCACCACTAAAGCACTTTTATAGCATCAGAGAGCATGTTGCAGAATATTGCTGCAATAAAATAACAGTCTGGAGTGGCCCAGCCTCTTTTAAAAATAATCTGAGTTTCCATTTAGATTTGTTTCAGGTCGTTCAGTTAAAAGAAATCCTCCCCTACCTTCTCCTGTGTTTTGGCTTCATTTACCTGTGCTCCAGGCCTATCATGTGAGCATCATCTCATTGCCTGATTTTTGTACTGGTCGCAAGTTCCAAGCCTTGACCTTGCAAAGAATATGCAAATAGAATGTTGCTTTTTTCCTCTCTAACTTCAGATTAATGCCTCCATTGGAGCCTGAAGAAGTTGCAAGTCAAGCAATGAAGGGAATTCTAACCAATGAGAGCATGATTTTCATCCCACGATTTCTGAAAGTCAGTGTCATGCTGGATAGGTAAGTATGCTGAAAAATTAAAGCCAACTGCTAAATGTACTTTTTTAAAAACAAAAAACATAAACACTTTTGGCCTAATTCATGTGTCTGTTGCTTTCAGAGTGTTACTTCCAGGCAGACAAATGACAGGGAACATATAGGTCTTCACATGTTGTTAGACTGTAACCTCAGTCACCCCTTACCATTGCTGTGCTGGCCACAGCTGATGGGAGTTGAAGTCCAACATTTAGAAAGTTGCAGGATGCCCAACATTGAAATAGGTAGTCAAAACTAATATATCTTCCTCTTTTCTCCAGGTTCCTTCCAGCTCGTGGAGCTAAAGCTTTGTGGAAGCTGAATAAACTTAAATTTGATTTTACCATTGGATACAAGGACAAGGAAAACTAAGGGGATGGGATTCCTGTTTTTAATTGCTTTTAACTCTTTGAAGCTTTAATTGTGGATAAAATCTAATCTGTTATGAAACCTATCATACACCTCCTCCTTGTAGCAAGTAGCTCCTTCAACCTATCTATGTATGAATGGCATGGAGAAATCAACTTTTCCTTGCAACTGAAACGATGTCTTCCTATCTCTTAAGAATGGTGTAATCCAGAGTTACCATAAGTTACCATAATCCAGAGTTACCATAAGTTTCCTTCCTCTCTAAACAAAGAAATAATAATGTTTTGTATCATGAAATGAATGAAGCCTCTAACTCAGTTCTTTCAGGGAGAAATGCAAAATGTCACTGGACGATGGATGAGGCATTTACAACTTTCCCCTTGAAGTATGAAATAATGCAGCAGAACCCAATAAACATGAGTGTGAAATATGGTTTTCCTAGTGTGTGATCATGGATGTAATGTTGGTGGGAGACAGGGAAGGATGTCTCCTTCATACTTTACAAACTATGCTAGGAAATATCAGGATCAAACAACATTAATAGCATGAATATTTATGTGTGCCCACATTTTTTCACTCATGTGATCCTTTGTTTTGTGCCTGGAAAATGCATGCCACAATGGCAAGTAATTTAGTATTTCCTGCTGAGTGCCTACAAACAGATTACATGAAGTGTATCTGGCTGATTTTACCCATTTCTGGATGTTTCTCTCCCATCGAAACCAACCTTTGCCACTGTATTACCATTAGCATGGCGTCAGTCATTGCCCCTGTAATTACTGCCGTTATCAGTGAATCATACTTTCTACTTGCATGTCAAGTTAATATTGCCCTGCCATTTCTTAATTAATTCTATGGCATTGCCAGCTAAACATTTGAGTTGCAGATATATCATGATTTGTGAAATAAGGGTGGAAATATGTAGAGTCGAACAGTAGGGCTGGGCGATACCTAGTTTTCAACATCATGATATATCACCAGCTAAACATCACAATAGACTTGTATATCACAATGTCTGAAATAAGGATGGAGCTATGTAGAGGCATTGGCTGGCCTCACGGTTTCCCCCACATTGTGATTTTTGCATAGTGTATACACACACACACACACACACCATGATTCACAATATATTGCCAGGTCAAAAATTATGAAACCAGTATCACAATATGGATTTCAAACCAGTTTTGGATGATATATTGATATATCGCCCAGCCCTTGTGGAGACATAGCAATAGCAAAGCCTGGATAGCTCAGCTGGTGCTGGTAACGCCAAGGTTGCAGGTTCGATCCCTATGTAGGACAGCTGCATTGCAGCGGGTTGGACTAGATGATCCTCAGGGTCCTCTTGTTGTTTAGTCGTGTCCAACTCTTCGTGACCCCATGGACCAGAGCACGCCAGGCACTCCTGTCTTCCACTGCCTCCCACAGTTTGGTCAAACTCATGCTGGTAGCTTCGAGAACACTATCCAACCATCTCGCCCTCTGTCGTCCCCTTCTCCTTGTGCCCTCCATCTTTCCCAGCATCTCCTTGTGCCCTCCATCTTTCCCCTTCTCCTTGTGCCCTCCATCTTTCCCAGCATCAGGGTCTCCATCTTTCCCAGCATCAGGGTCCTCTACAATTCTATAATTCTATGATTGTATGGCTGTGGTGTTGCTGCTGCTTACTAAAAAGGAAGAGAGGCAAGGGAACTGCAAGGGGGAGCTGCACAGGCACACTGCCAGTGGAACTGGCTCTGCCAGTACACCCACACAGTCACAAACCTGCTACCAGCTCATCGCTCTTCCTCCTCGAAAGCAGCAAGAAGCTTCTAGGGCTGCCTCGCTGCATCTCTGCCTTAATGGATGAGCTGCTCCCGTAAGGTGGCATATAAACGTAAAGAATGGAAGAAAGTACGTGATTGCAACATACCAAGAAGCAATATACACGCCAAGATACTGTGCTTTTAATATATTTGGGATGGGAAGTTCAGGGGATTCCATCTGCAGGTTACAGACAAGGTGTTACATAATTTACCCATTGCCTGGCATTAATCAGACACCTGAATAATGGATTCATATACACCCCAAGTGAAGGCATCTCTTAATCTAATGTTCTTTCCCCTTGCTTCCAACAACTGCATCGAATTTTACGTTTGTGAACTTGTTCAAAGCCACCAAGGCACGCTCGGGTAAGATTCTGCAAAGAAAATAGAAGCATCAAGTTACAACCGTCACAGAAGCTCAGAATTCTTTTAGATACAGGTACTTGACTTTGGTTGCCTGTTTTTTGCTGATGTTGTTTTGACCACAAGGCATGTTTTTAACCCAAATAACAACTCGGAAGTTCACTGCTCCTTTCCTATGTGCACCCCACATACCTTTCCAGCAGCAGGCGGAATTTCACAAACGAAGGAACGAAAATCATGTTTTGATTGCAAAGAATTCCATTGATGAGTTTCTTCGCAACTACGTCAGGCTCCAGAATAGGTGACAACCTGCGGTTAAAGGAAAACACTCACTAAAATGTTGCCAGAAACATGGACACGGGGCAATTTGAGATTAGCTGTAGCAACATCGTTATAATAATTGCCAGAATGTTTCTTAAACGTTGTTAACTCTCTGCAATTCCTCCAAAGGTCTACAGTGGTACCTTAGTTTAAGTACTTAATTCGGTCCGGAGGTCCGTACTTAACCTGAAACTGTTTTTAACCTGAAGCACCACTTTAGCTAATGGGGCCTCCCGCTGCCGCCGGAGCACAATTTCTGTTCTCATCCTGAAGCAAAGTTCTTAACCTGAAGAAGAGCGGAGTTCTGTAACCTGAAGCGTATGTAACCTGAAGCGTATGTAACCCGAGGAGCGCTGTAATGGTTTCCTTTGTTGCTAGCCCATGAAATTAATCCCATGATGTCAGTGACCGACAGGACCCTGAAGAGCGTGGGGCGGAGGCAGGGGACCAGGAAAGTGATCTAGGAGAAGGAACCAGTAATTTATGGGGTTTGATGCCACCTGCGAGGCAGGAGCCAGGGGTGGGGGGAGTCAGCGCAGTCTGAGACAGAGGAAGTTGTACTACATGTGGTGGTGGAAGACTAAGAAGCTGTTCAGCCAACAGATATGTCAGTAGACTCTGGTTACCAGATTTTTTCCAATGACTATTATACATGTTTTTCTAGAACAGGAGAAGCTGTTTCAAAAGGCAATTTATTTTTTAAAAAAGGAAAAGAGCCTTCTCATTACTTACCTTGATCTTGGACTTTTAATAAAGCCAGTGTTAATAAACACTGGACAAAGGCATGAAGTTTTTATCCCATCCTTTCCCAAAGCGGACAATTCTTGAGTCAGACTTTTGTGAAACCCAACAGCAGCAAACTTGCTTGAGCTAAGGGGAAGCGGAGATTTGGGAGATCTTTGAAAACATTTTTTTGCTATTATTATTATTATTAATAATAATCACAATCTACACAACCATTTCAAGATGTTGTACAATGAAAGCAGGAAAAAACAGTTAATAGCACACACACAAAAAAGCTGATACATTTAATACAACTTCTAAAAAATGACACTCGTAGCAAAGAGATATTTGTCCACTGGGAAAGTCCTGAAAATACTTTTTGACAAGAAACCCCATTGAATTAAGTGGGACTGACTTCTGAGTAGGGATTTGGACCAGTGTTCTGTACCGTACAGAAGAAAAATGTATCCAGTTGTGGGTGCCTAGAATCAAAGAGTTTTAAGGGATCCCAAGTGTCATCTAGTCCAGCCCCCCTGCAATGTAGGAATATCTCAATGCCTGTGACATCTCAACAGGAATACTATTCCACAGAACAGGGGCAGTCACACTAAAAGCCCTGCTACAGTGGAGATCTTTGGAACTTGCCGGAGAAATGTTCCCACAGACATCGATTGGGTGTGTAAGGGATAAGGGAGTCTCTCAGCTAACCCAGTCCTGAGCTGTAAAGGACCTTATCTATTAGTACTAACACCATGAACTTGACCCAGTAGCAGATTGATATACATTACCCAATGTATGTGAAACATGCAAGCTTTCAAAATATAGCTGCTATCAATGAATTGCTAAGACAGATAATACTAGAGAATTAGTAACAAACTTACAGAAAATAAATCACTTATAATTGACCAAAGTTCTTCACAACTCTTAAACTGATTTCCGTGGGTTTACCCTGAATATGCCTTTGTTGGATATCACCCACAAGGAAAGACATAGTGATAACAGCAAGAACCTTTATTGAACTACAGAACTGGACAACAGGGGCAAAGCAACTGCTTATATACATATCTGAAGGCCTAGGCCACTCCCACTCCCAACGTGATTGGCAGTCTAAACTTCCAAGCTGCGAATCATAAGTCAGAGTTTAAGGGCCAATGGCAGAGGCCCAAATCCTGAAATGTCCTGTGATTGGATATCATGTATCAAATCAGAACACAGGGGCTGAGAATCCTTAGCCCAGACTCAAGCTCAGGCAAACACAGACCACTGAAGACATAACAATTTTATTCTAGACTAATTGGAGCATTATTTGGTATGAACAGAAATGTTTCTATTACACTTACCAATAAGACAACAGAAAAGGGACTGTCAGATGCCCAGCAGCTGATGCAACAGTGACAATATGGCCATGGTTCTTTGCCATCATTGCTGGCAGGAATGCTTTTGTTGTCTTAAAGTTTGAAAAGACGGGGGAAGACAATGTTAGATTCCCACATATCTAGTATTTCCTTTTGCTATATTACTGTTTGTTTATATGCTGCTTTTTTGGCCTAAAGAGCATATTATCACAAGTGAAATAGTCAATAAAAATGCAACAGATATCAAACAAATATTTCAACGCCCCCCCAACCCACAAATACCCCGTAATCACGCTGGATGCGAGTTCATGAACCACATCCACACTTTACCTAGAGTTCCATGTCTTGCTTGGAAGATGAGTTCACTCACTCCGTCCACAAACAAACCTGTTCAGGTTTACTCCCACACCCCATCAGCTGCCCCAGTTTCTAAGCTAGGAGGAAGCTCATCCACAACCATTTGCCCATGGTGAGTTTCTGCACCCTTGTCACATGGAGTGCCTCAAACAGAACTTCCCCATTGGGGCTGGCCCGCAGTAGCATGCCACCATCAGATGCTACGGATCTGACATGGCAAGAAAAGGAAGGAAGCATCTTCATTCACTTTGCTGGAGATGCTCTATGACATTAACATCAGGGGTGATGAGGACCAAAAAGGAGCTACGCTGACCGCCCAAGGTCTTTATAGAATCATAGAACTGTAGAGTTGGAAAAGACCTTCAGATCAAGAGTCTCGTGCTCTACCAGCTGAGCTATCCCAACTGTCTATGAAGAATGAATTTTGAATCCAGGCAATGGCTACTTCCTTGCATGCCCTGCTTGCAAGGCATTTTCTGCCTAGGGTTTTTGGGGTGGAGGAGACAGTCATCCCCCCCTTAAACAGTTTGCTTTTGAAAATATGTTTGCTTTTGGGAAAAGGGGTGTAACTTGATGATTTTGACGACCAGTTCAGTAGCGGCCTCCAAATGAATAGATTCCCGCACCCCCGGAAATCAGCTTAAATTATGACAAAGTGTGTATCAACCATAATATTTAGCATGTAAATGATATAAGTGCATTGGTCATGGTTTAGTTTGGATTATCAGGTATAACTGTAGCAGTGTATTAGTACTTTTTAATGTATTAGGCTGGCCTCGACCAGAGCCAGGGCTTTTTCAGCCGTGGCCCCAATCTGGTGGAACGCTCTGGCACAAGAGACTAGGGCCCTGCAGGACTTGACATCTTTCCACAGGGCCTGCAAGACGGAGCTGTTCCACCAGGTCTTTGGCCAAGGCACAGTCTGACCCCCTCTCTCCTTCTGTAATCTTCATAGAACTCTAGCCATTAATTTGATTCTGAACTGATTTTAGAATGTATTTTAATTAATTGACTGTGTGATTCTATGTCCACTCTACTATTTTTACTTGCTGTTAGCCGCCGCTCTGAGCCCGGCTTTGGCCGGGGAGGGCGGGATATAAACAAAAAAATATTATTATTATTATTATTATTATTATTATTATTATCAACATCAGGGGGGATGCAGAGGTACGCATACCCTTAAACATTTTGTGAATCTAAGTTCAGCCTCATTGAAGGGCAGTATTTCAATATGAGTAGGACAATGAGAGGACCCCTAAACATTTTTTTTTAATAGAGAAAAAGCACCAATTAGCAGTAATGTAACAATATTTACCCAGTGATGAGCGAGCACGTTGACCTCAAACGTTTTCTGTATTTGCTTGTCCTGGGTGGAAAGGAGATCTGCTGTTGCTACCACACCGGCATTATTCACTAAAATACTGACATCTCCTATGTCTCTTTTCACCTTTAAAATGTGACAAACGAGAAGAGCAGCCGGGATTAGATTTACAGTCACAGAATCCAGAGGCAGGCAATACCTTTATTATAGGACTAAACAAAATATCACAAAATAGTGAGGAAGTCTTTGAGTACTCCAGAGCTCTTCAGGCTGGATATAACATAAATGGGAGGGGGATGAGAGAAAGGGGGGGGCACACACAAAAACAAACAAACAAACAAACAAACAAACAAACAAACGTTGCCGCTTTCAGGTCTCACCTTCTCTGCAGCACTGTAGATTTCCTCTCTGACGCTGCAGTCCACAACAGAGGCATGAACTGTGGCTCCCAGATTTCTGCACTCTTCAGCTGTTTCCTCAACGCCATGCTATGCCACACAGAAAGGGAGAAAAATGGCTCATTTCCTTGCATTCTGTACATAACTGAGGGTCTAGCTAGGATCTGGGAGACCAGAATTCAAAGGCCCACTTAACCCATGAGATGACCTTGGGCCAGTCACTGCCTTTCAGGGGCAAAATCATGTACGCCATGGGTAGGCAAACTAAGGCTCGGGGGCCGGATCTGGCCGAATCGCCTTCTAAATCCGGCCTGCCGACAGTCTGGAAATCAGTGTGTTTTTACATGTGTCCTTTTATTTAAAATGCATCTCTGGGTTATTTGTGGGGCATAGGAATTCATTCATCCCTCCCCCTCAAAATATAGTCTGACCCCCCCCACAAGGTCTGAGGGACAGTGGACCGGCCCCCTGCTGAAAAGGTTTGCTGACCCCTGATACGTCATCACAGACGGAAGGTGGTATATACGGAATACTACATAAGTTAACTATACACAGAAGGGAAAGGTTTAAAACGGGGCCAGGAAACCACATCAACAACTCCCATCATTCCTGGCCATTGGCCAAGCTATCTGGGGATGATAGGAACTGGAGTCCAACGGCAGCTGTGAGGGGCACAGGTTCCTCACCTCTGGTTTATTAAGAGCAGGGTCTTAGCCCAAGACTCTATCCAAATACACAACCTCAGAATACACAACATAGCAAAGAGACGAGCATATTCAGAGTGCTTTCCCTTTAGTATCAAGTAACCACACTTCATCCATGCACATCTGAGCTTAGAGGTCTCCCACATTGCCACTAGCCGTAGAGTACAAAAATCACACCTGGCTCCTTCCATCTTTTGCATATTATTATTATTATTATTATTATTATTATTATTATATTTGTATACTGCCCTACATCACAGGTCCACCTAGACCTATGGCAGGGGCTGGTATACTGGCCCTGTCTCTGTCCTCCAAGTGGGGATAGCTTGACCACTCCGATAAAACCCAGGAATTGATCACTCAGTTTTCGGATTAGAGTTTTGGCTGATGCACATAGAAATGGGCTCCATTTGGATGGGCCATCTCCACATGGATAGCAGAGATAGGCACAGCCTCTTGCCAGGCACCTGGGTCTGTCAAGCCTCCATTTTAGTTTCCCACAATGCCCCACAGTAACAGCATGTCTGGTGCTCCGGGACACTGTGGGAAGTTAAAATGTCAGGTACCAGCCATTCTTGCAGTGCGGTCACCATCACCAGGTAACCTCGAGGAGTGCCACTGATGTGAAATGGTGCCTCTAGAGTACACTCTGGGATACTGTGTGTGTGAGGAAGAAGATGGCTGCCCTCAGGCACCTAGTCCATGGGGGCAACCATCTTTTCCTCTTCTTTTACAATTACTCAGTAAGAGACGGCATGTTGTAATGTACTGCTACTGCCAAAGGATATTTATTCAAAAATTTTCAGCAAGCATGGCAAGCACTGAATTTTATAAAGCACCCAGAAAATGAAGGAACAAATGAACAAACTAGGGATGTAAGGAGGCATCTCAGCCTGTGTTTGTTGCAATCAGTGCTGTTTCCATTTCTGTACAGTTCGGCTTTTGCTACATTACTCATCTTGCTATCCGCTATGGCCGAAACGAACAGTTAATTACAGACCCTCCAAGTGTCCTTATTTTCCAGGGATGTCCCTGATTTAGAGAAGCTGTCCCGGTTTCTGATTTGATCCCCAAATGTCCCGCTTTTCCTTAGGATGTTCCTCTTTTCATTGGATAATTGTTGGAGGGTATGGAGGTGTCCAATCCCTGAGCTGTCTGAAGCAGCCTTTCTCAACCTTGGTCCCCAGATGTTGTTGGACTACAACTCCCATCATCCCTAGCTAGAAGGACCAGCAGTCAGGGATGATGGGAGTTGTAGTCCAACAACATCTGGCGGCCCAAGGTTGAGAAAGGCTGGGTAATCCTGTATAGGGAAGGGTGTTTTTTTAATGTTTAATTATGTTTTTACATATGTTGGAAGCTGCCCAGAGTGGCTGGGCCACCTCAAGTAAGATGTGTGGGGTATAAATAGTAAAATTATCAACATGGAATGGGATGTCCCTATTTTCATTGGAGAAATGTTGGAGGGTATGTAATTATGCTGTTAAATTCAATGTGTTGCAATAGAAGGGAAACATCAAAAACAGTGCAGAAACTAATGTAACTAGTTATGTAATGCTCATGGACCTAAGCCGCCTACAATGGTAGCAAATCCTACTTGTATTCAGTTGCATTATTTCCATTCCTGTCAGTTTTGTTTCCGGTTCTGGCAGAATTCTCTAACATCTCTACCTCAACCTTTTAACAAACTATACACTCCACAGATCAACATTCTGATCTGAGCATGTTACTTCAGATATGGACATTTAGTCTCAATTTTGGAGTGAACTTAAATACTCATGCCTAACTAGACTAGCCTGGGGCAAGTGTGTAGCTTTATTTTATTTATTTACTTGTAGTGTTTATATCCTATCTGTCATCTGCAATAGGAGAAAACCCAGCTACACAACTCTGATTATCTCCCCCTCTCACTCTATTCAAAACATGTCTGACAATTGACAAGGGGGTAGTATTCAAATATTTCACCTTCAAACCTTTTTACTAATGAGAACGAGGGCTTTGTTGCCAGCACTGCATCCGCAGAGTCAGAAACTTTATAGTGAACATAAATCCAAACCATTTTAAGACATAAAAGAAAAAGTGGCTCAACTTCCAACTTGCCTTTTTAAATCATCTATTTCCCACAGTGCTTCTTGTTAAAGAAAGGGAGGTGTCTGATGCATGGTTGACCTACGAAGAAATATCTCAGGACCACAATACCGCAAGGACCACCTCTTTCCATATGAATCTATCCAGACCCCGAGATCTTCTTCTGAGGCCCTTTTTTATGTGCCTCCTCCTCGAGAGGTCCGGAGGATGGCAACATGAGAACGGGGCCTTCTCTGCAGTGGCTCCCCGTCTGTGGAATGCTCTCCTCAGGGAAGTTCACCTGGTGACTTCATTATACACCTTTAGGCACCAGGCAAAAACATTCCTTTTTAACCAGAGCTTTGGTTGATCTGATTGACATCCTATGCCCTTTTAAAATGTGGCTCTTTTTTGGATGGGTGTGTGTGTGTGTGTGTGTGTGTGTGTGTGTGTGTGTTATTGGGTTGTTGTTTTTATTCTGATACATATTGTGGTTTTTATGTTGATCTTTTCTGTGAAATGCCCTGAGACTTCTAGGTCTAGGGCGGTATGTAAATTCAATAAATAATAACAAAACAACAACAGCAATAATCTGCCCAATGCTGCAAAAGAGTATTGAGAGCTGCCATTGTAGATTTTACTCCATCTTCCCATACAAAGATCAGAAGCTACCATTATAAGCAAACACGGAGTGCAGCCCTAGGCATATTTGCGTGCCAAAGCCCTGTGACTGCCTCGTTCCTGGAAGGATAAATAACTAGACAGTACACAGTGTTTAGTTTTATGGGATTAAATAGGGCCACAACTTTGTTGGTTACAGATGTGTAGGTTTAGGCCATAGGCATTGAGGTAAGTCACCGCAAATATCACTCCAGCCCATCTGCTGGAACAGTGGCGTAGCGTGGGTTGTCAGCACCCGGGGCAAGGCAAGTAATTTGCGCCCCCTAACCCGTGGATTTGCGCCCCCTAACCCTAACCCCCAGATGTTGCGCCCGGTGCGGCCGGCCCCCCCTGCACCCCCCACGCTACGCCACTGTGCCGGAAGTATCTCCAAGAGTGAAGCCAACCTATGACCCATGTCAAATCAGGGCATCCCCCACGTGGTTCCCTTCAGAGGAGTGGAAAGGCCCTAGCCCCCATCTGGGTGTCAGAAAGGAGCCATCCCTTCCGGATCCTTTTAACAGGATACCCTTACCTGTCAAAAGGGTGGCAGGGAATGATCCAGGCTGCCATACACCAATCCTGGGAGCATCCCCGTGGCCTGCCCGCAAATCCGCCTGCCTGCCGCAGAAGGGCAAATGGACTTAATGAAGGAGCACAGTACATCCCACTTAAGTCAATGGGGTTTCTTTCCAGGACAACATGAGTAGGACTGACTGCAAATGATTCTAAGAACCCAGGAAGCCTGCTAGCCATTATTTCCACACACCAGCATTTACCATTCCCAATCGTTATAGGGTTTCAAAGGGGGAGCTGTTTTGTACCTTGTTTAGATCCCAGAGCACCAGTTTGCTCTGCCGTTTGGCAAATTCATAGGCAGTGAGTCTTCCGATGCCGTGTCCCGCTCCAGTGATAAGCACAATCTCACCACTGACAGATTTTCTTTTCGCAGGAATAACAAGTTTCACACAAGCTTCCAGGTACGAATAGATTATAATGCCTACGAGCCGCAGGAGTTCCAGTATGAGATTCATTTTAATTCCTCCTCCTCGTCTGTGACTTAGCTGACAGCTGGGAGGACTTTGTAATACAACAGGCTATTCATTTACTAAGTTTTGTGTGTGTGTGTGTGTGTGTGTGTGTGTGTATGTTTAATAGTGATGAACAAGGGAGGAGGAACCACACTCAGTTGCTTAGAAGGATACAATTTTTATATTAGCATTTAACCTGTGTGATTATATATTGCACACTATTGTAAGCAAACCTGCTTGTGAAACTAGATTGCAGATGGTCACAGATCTTAGTTGTTTGTGGGTTTTATATTTAGTTGTGTAATAATAATAATAATAAATATTTATACCCCGCCCTCCCCAGCCAAGACCGGGCTCAGGGCGGCTAACACCAGGGATAAAAAACAATTGATTAAAATACAACTTAAAAACAAGATTAAAATACAACATTAAAATTGTAGCAGGAACCCCCCCCCATCATTCAGTTTGTACAAACTTCACACACACTCACACACTACATACGCTACGCTTCTGTTATAAATTCATAGAAAATCAACCATACATCGGATTGGCACTGTTCCACTTTTATTTTACTCCATGAAGGAAGGACTACAAAATGGGGAAGGTTTGATACAGGCCAGCCATAATCCCTTGAACATCCCAGCACATCCACAGGAGCCCTGCCCAGTTGCTATGCCAACCCTGATGGTCCTAGACAGAAGACAATCAAGATCACAAAGAACTTGCATATGGGAGTGGATTCTGCATGGACTGGAACAAAGGACAATGATCAGATCTTCCCTCAGGGGGGCAGGAAACTGCGACTACCTTTTGTCTTCAGAAAATGACTCATGGGGAGGGGTAGAGGTGAACCAGCCAGGTGACAGGACACTCAGGTTACCACCACAACTCCTCCCTCAACCCCTCCTTTCTGTAATGTATGCATGATGTTTCTGGGGGTGGGCTTGATCTACAGGGTGGGAATTTCAAAAGTTTTTATAAGGTCTTGCACACCATTTTCTGGGTCTTTCCTCTCTCTCACAAGTGATGGGAACACCCTGTTGCAACAGTTCAATAAAGGCCAAGCCTACAGGCTGCTGTTTTGCTCCAAGTTATCCTGGTTGGTGTCTTTGTTTTTGTCCAAGGGAGCCCTCGGATTTTTCCGGTAACAAAATGCAGCCTCATTTCAGTGCTCATGGCACCATACATGGTTCTCCCTTTCCTCAATTTCCTCTCACAACAATGCTGTGAAGTAGGCTAGGCTGAGAAATAGTGACTGAACCTTGGTCTACAGAGGCAGAAATCCTCTCTATATTTGCCTCACTTTCACTCACTTGTGTTCACGATGCCACAGTTGTTGTTGTTTTTAAAAAAACCCTTTTTAACAATGTCATCTCAAAGGTTGCAGAAATATTTGCAGTTCTGCAGCACTTTTCAACATACAAATTACTTTGAAAATTACCTAATGCACTGGACTTTTTTTACACCCTTACCACATGGCTTAATATATAAACTGAGATCAGCATGTATGTATGTGTGCCACTTTCTTGCAGGTTACTGAAGAAACAAAGTATTGTGGCAGTGGCTCAGCTTGCAGAGAAGCTCAAAGGTCCAAAGGAAAGCACATGAAAGTGTTTCTTTGTCCTCCAGGGAGCTCAAGGCACCCTGGGGTAGTCGCTACCTTTTTTTTTTTTTTGCAAATTAAGTTTTTATTGATTTTCAGCAAACATACATACATTCATAAATACACATATATAGGTTACATATTTAACTTAGGCTCTATCATGCCTCTGAGTTCCCTCCATTTCTTTGGTAAGTATCAAATAAAATTCTAATGTCACGTACTCTATATATATCATATTATCAACTACACGCTGTAAGAGTTATTCCAACCCTACCAGTGTCTTCAAAGATTTACAATTGTTTCTTATATACATCAAATATTTACTCCAATTTTCTTGAAACTTCTGCTTGTCCTGATCTCTTAATTTTACTGATAGTCTGGCCAGTTCTGCGTAGTCCATCATTTTAACCTGCCAGTTCATTATATTCGGTATTATGTCTGTTTTCCAATTCTGAGCTAACATATTTCTGGCTGCTGTCGTGGCATATAGAAAGAGGTTTTTATTTTTTTTCCAATTTCCTTTCCAATCAATCCCAGTAGAAAAGCTTCAGGTCTTTTTGGAAAAGTATATTTAAAGATTTTTTTAAGTTCGTTATAGATTAATTCCCAAAAGCCCTTCACTTTACTACAGGTCCACCACATATGGTAGAGGTCACCTCCACCTCTCCACACTTCCAACATTTTTTATTTTTTGTTCTATACATCCTTGCTAGCTTTACCAGCGTTAGATGCCATCTGTAGATCATTTTCCACAAATTCTCCTTTAAGGCAGTGCAAGCCGTAAATTTCATGTTTACATTCCATAGTTCTTGCCACGCATCAAACTCGATATTATGGCCAAAATCGATAGCCCATTTAACCATGGCTTCCTTTATCTCTTCATCTTTCGTATACCAATCCAATAATACATGGTATGTTTTTGATAGTACTTTATTTTTACCTTCTAGAAGATCGATATTGAATTTAGATTTCTTATCCTCAAATCCCTTTTTCCTTTTATCTTCTTTTAGTAAATCATTAACTTGGTGATACTGTAACCACCCTGTAAATAAACTCTCTACCTCCTCATACGGCTTGAGTTTTATACCATGATCTGTCTTTTTGGTTAGTTCTTCATAAGTAGCTTTTTCCCCCTTCCATGTTGACTTTTTTGATGGTTAAAACTTCTATTGGTGAAATCCACCAAGGGGTTTTCTTTTCCAATAGGTCTTTGTTTCTTTCCCAAACTTGAAATATAGTCGCTACCTTTTAACCTACCTTACAGGGTTGTTGTGAAGATGAAATGGGTGGAGGAACAACCTTGTAGGAATAATTTGTTTGTGTGTGTATATATATATATATATATATATATATATATATATATATTCTTGCTAGAGGACTCCCTCCCCCATTAAAGCTCTCTGACCTGCTGCAGTTTTGGGAGCAGCCTGTTGCACAGTGGAGGAACTGAATTTGAGAAAGGACCTTTAAAAATGAGGGCTGGGAGACAGAATCAAGCTGTTTAAAATGCTCTCTGCAGGCCCAGTGACAGAGAGCTAGGGTTACCGCCCTGGAGATGGTGCATCCCATCAGGGTTGACGGATCAGGAGGGAGTGGAGAGTTAAAAGACAGAACCTGACAGATCAGCTGTCAGAAAGAGTGTTTGGAGAGGGTTTGGGTAGGGCTTGGCCTCAGTTTTCGGATTAGAGTTTTGGCTGATGCACATAGAAATGGGCTCCATTTCGATGGGCCATCCCCACATGGATAGCAGAGATAGGCACAGCCTCTTGCCAGGCACCTGGGTCTGTCAAGCCTCCATTTTAGTTTCCCACAATGCCCCACAGTAACACCATGTCTGGTGCTCCGGGACACTGTGGGAAGTTAAAATGTCAGGTACCAGCCATTCTTGCAGTGCGGTCACCATTACCAGGTAACCTCGAGGAGTGCCACTGATGTGAAATGGTGCCTCTAGAGTACACTACTGTGTGTGTGAGGAAGAAGATGGCTGCCCTCAGGCACCTAGTCCATGGGGGCAACCATCTTTTCCTCTTCTTTTACAATTACTCAGTAAGAGACGGCATGTTGTAATGTACTGCTACTGTCAAAGGATATTTATTCAAAAATTTCCAGCAAGCATGGCAAGCACTGAATTTTATAAAGCACCCAGAAAATGAAGGAACAAATGAACAAACTAGGGATGTAAGGAGGCATCTCAGCCTGTGTTTGTTGCAATCAGTGCTGTTTCCATTTCTGTACAGTTCGGCTTTTGCTACATTACTCATCTTGCTATCCGCTATGGCCGAAACGAACAGTTAATTACAGACCCTCCAAGTGTCCTTATTTTCCAGGGATGTCCCTGATTTAGAGAAGCTGTCCTGGTTTCTGATTTGATCCCCAAATGTCCCGCTTTTCCTTAGGATGTTCCTCTTTTCATTGGATAATTGTTGGAGGGTATGGAGGTGTCCAATCCCTGAGCTGTCTGAAGCAGCCTTTCTCAACCTTGGTCCCCAGATGTTGTTGGACTACAACTCCCATCATCCCTAGCTAGAAGGACCAGCAGTCAGGGATGATGGGAGTTGTAGTCCAACAACATCTGGCGGCCCAAGGTTGAGAAAGGCTGGGTAATCCTGTATAGGGAAGGGATTCTTTTTAATGTTTAATTATGTTTTTACATATGTTGGAAGCTGCCCAGAGTGGCTGGGCCACCTCAAGTAAGATGTGTGGGGTATAAATAGTAAAATTATCAACATGGAATGGGATGTCCCTATTTTCATTGGAGAAATGTTGGAGGGTATGTAATTATGCTGTTAAATTCAATGTGTTGCAATAGAAGGGAAACATCAAAAACAGTGCAGAAACTAATGTAACTAGTTATGTAATGCTCATGGACCTAAGCCGCCTACAATGGTAGCAAATCCTACTTGTATTCAGTTGCATTATTTCCATTCCTGTCAGTTTTGTTTCCGGTTCTGGCAGAATTCTCTAACATCTCTACCTCAAACCACCTCACCAAAAGGTTAATCATGAAATGTAAGTTTTAACAAACTATACACTCCACATATCAACATTCTGATCTGAGCATGTTACTTCAGATACGGACATTTAGTCTCAATTTTGGAGTGAACTTAAATACTCACTAATGCCTAACTAGACCAGCCTGGGGCAAGTGTGTAGCTTTATTTTATTTATTTACTTGTAGTGTTTATATCCTATCTGTCATCTGCAATAGGAGAAAACCCAGCTACACAACTCTGATTATCTCCCCCTCTCACTCTATTCAAAACATGTCTGACAATTGACAAGGGGGTAGTATTCAAATATTTCACCTTCAAACCTTTTTACTAATGAGAATGAGGGCTTTGTTGCCAGCACTGCATCCGCAGAGTCAGAAACTTTATAGTGAACATAAATCCAAACCATTTTAAGGCATAAAAGAAAAAGTGGCCCAACTTCCAACTTGCCTTTTTAAATCATCTATTTCCCACAGTGCTTCTTGTTAAAGAAAGGGAGGTGTCTGATGCATGGTTGACCTACGAAGAAATATCACAGGACCACAATACTGCAAGGACCACCTCTTTCCATATGAATCTATCCAGACCCCGAGATCTTCTTCTGAGGCCCTTTTTCACGTGCCTCCTCCTCGAGAGGTCCGGAGGATGGCAACATGAGAACAGGGCCTTCTCTGCAGTGGCTCCCCGTCTGTGGAATGCTCTCCTCAGGGAAGTTCACCTGGTGACTTCATTATACACCTTTAGGCACCAGGCAAAAACATTCCTTTTTAACCAGAGCTTTGGTTGATCTGATTGACATCCTATGCCCTTTTAAAATGTGGCTCTTTTTTGGATGGGTGTGTGTGTGTGTGTGTGTGTGTGTGTGTGTGTGTGTTATTGGGTTGTTGTTTTTATTCTGATTATACATATTGTGGTTTTTATGTTGATCTTTTCTGTGAACTGCCCTGAGACCTCTGGGTCTAGGGCGGTATGTAAATTCAATAAATAATAACAAAACAACAACAACAATAATCTGCCCAATGCTGCAAAAGAGTATTGAGAGCTGCCATTGTAGATTTTACTCCATCTTCCCATACAAAGATCAGAAGCTACCATTATAAGCAAACACGGAGTGCAGCCCTAGGCATATTTGCGTGCCAAGGCCCTGTGACTGCCTCGTTCCTGGAAGGATAAATAACTAGACAGTACACAGTGTTTAGTTTTATGGGATTAAATAGGGCCACAACTTTGTTGGTTACAGATGTGTAGGTTTAGGCCATAGGCATTGAGGTAAGTCACCGCAAATATCACTCCAGCCCATCTGCTGGAACAGTGGCGTAGCGTGGGTTGTCAGCACCCAGGGCAAGGCAAGTAATTTGCGCACCCTAACCCGTGGATTTGCGCCCCCTAACCCTAACCCCCAGATGTTGCGCCCGGTGTGGCCGGCCCCCCCTGCACCCCCCACGCTACGCCACTGTGCTGGAAGTATCTCCAAGAGTGAAGCCAACCTATGACCCATGTCAGATCAGGGCATCCCCCACGTGGTTCCCTTCAGAGGAGTGGAAAGGCCCTAGCCCCCATCTGGGTGTCAGAAAGGAGCCATCCCTTCCGGATCCTTTTAACAGGATACCCTTACCTGTCAAAAGGGTGGCAGGGAATGATCCAGGCTGCCATACACCAATCCTGGGAGCATCCCCGTGGCCTGCCCGCAAATCCGCCTGCAAATGGACTTAATGAAGGAGCACAGTACATCCCACTTAAGTCAATGGAGTTTCTTTCCAGGAAAACATGAGTAGGACTGACTGCAAATGATTCTAAGAACCCAGGAAGCCTGCCAGCCATTATTTCCACACACCAGCATTTACCATTCCCAATCGTTATAGGGTTTCAAAGGGGGAGCTATTTTGTACCTTGTTTAGATCCCAGAGCACCAGTTTGCTCTGCCGTTTGGCAAATTCATAGGCAGTGAGTCTTCCGATGCCGTGTCCCGCTCCAGTGATAAGCACAATCTCACCACTGACAGATTTTCTTTTCGCAGGAATAACAAGTTTCACACAAGCTTCCAGGTACGAATAGATTATAATGCCTACGAGCCGCAGGAGTTCCAGTATGAGATTCATTTTAATTCCTCCTCCTCGTCTGTGACTTAGCTGACAGCTGGGAGGACTTTGTAATACAACAGGCTATTCATTTACTAAGTTGTGTGTGTGTGTGTGTGTGTGTGTGTGTGTGTGTGTGTGTGTGTTTAATAGTGATGAACAAGGGAGGAGGAACCACACTCAGTTGCTTAGAAGGATACAATTTTTATATTAGCATTTAACCTGTGTGATTATATATTGCACACTATTGTAAGCAAACCTGCTTGTGAAACTAGATTGCAGATGGTCACAGATCTTAGTTGTTTGTGGGTTTTATATTTAGTTGTGTAATAATAATAATAAAAATTATTTATACCCCGCCCTCCCCAGCCAAGACCGGGCTCAGGGCGGCTAACACCAGGGATAAAAAACAATTGATTAAAATACAACTTAAAAACAAGATTAAAATACAACATTAAAATTGTAGCAGGAACCCCCCCCCCATCATTCAGTTTGTACAAACTTCACACACACTCACACACTACATACGCTACGCTTCTGTTATAAATTCATAGAAAATCAACCATACATCGGATTGGCACTGTTCCACTTTTATTTTACTCCATGAAGGAAGGACTACAAAATGGGGAAGGTTTGATACAGGCCAGCCATAATCCCTTGAACATCCCAGCACATCCACAGGAGCCCTGCCCAGTTGCTATGCCAACCCTGATGGTCCTAGACAGAAGACAATCAAGATCACAAAGAACTTGCATATGGGAGTGGATTCTGCATGGAATGGAACAAAGGACAATGATCAGATCTTCCCTCAGGGGGCAGGAAACTGCGACTACCTTTTGTCTTCAGAAAATGACTCATGGGGAGGGTAGAGGTGAACCAGCCAGGTGACAGGACACTCAGGTTACCACCACAACTCCTCCCTCAACCCCTCCTTTCTGTAATGTATGCATGATGTGGGCTTGATCTACAGGGTGGGAATTTCAAAAGTTTTTATAAGGTCTTGCACACCATTTTCTGGGTCTTTCCTCTCTCTCACAAGTGATGGGAACACCCTGTTGCAACAGTTCAATAAAGGCCAAGCCTACAGGCTGCTGTTTTGCTCCAAGTTATCCTGGTTGGTGTCTTTGTTTTTGTCCAAGGGAGCCCTTGGATTTTTCCGGTAACAAAATGCAGCCTCATTTGTGCTCAGGGCACCATACATGGTTCTCCCTTTCCTCAATTTCCTCTCACCACAATGCTGTGAAGTAGGCTAGGCTGAGAAATAGTGACTGAACCTTGGTCTGCAGAGGCAGAAATCCTCTCTATATTTGCCTCACTTTCACTCACTTGTGTTCACGATGCCACAGTTGTTGTTGTTTTTAAAAAAACCCTTTTTAACAATGTCATCTCAAAGGTTGCAGAAATATTTGCAGTTCTGCAGCACTTTTCAACATACAAATTACTTTGAAAATTACCTAATGCACTGGACTTTTTTTACACCCTTACCACATGGCTTAATATATAAACCGAGATCAGCATGTATGTATGTGTGCCACTTTCTTGCAGGTTACTGAAGAAACAAAGTATTGTGGCAGTGGCTCAGCTTACTGTACAGAGAAGCTCAAAGGTCCAAAGGAAAGCACATGAAAGTGTTCCTTTGTCGTCCAGGGAGCTGAAGGCACCATAGATGGTTCTCCCCCTGGGGTAGTCGCGACCTTTTTTTTTTTTTTCAAATTAAGTTTTTATTGATTTTCAGTAAACATACATACATTCATAAATACACATATATAGGTTACATATTTAACTTAGGCTCTATCATGCCTCTGAGTTCACTCCATTTCTTTGGTAAGTATCAAATAAAATTCTAATGTCACGTACTTTATATATCATATTATCAACTACACGCTGTAAGAGTTATTCCAACCCTACCAGTGTCTTCAAAGATTTACAATTGTTTCTTATATACATCAAATATTTACTCCAATTTTCTTGAAACTTCTGCTTGTCCTGATCTCTTAATTTTACTGATAGTCTGGCCAGTTCTGCGTAGTCCATCATTTTAACCTGCCAGTTCATTATATTCATTATTATGTCTGTTTTCCAGTTCTGAGCTAACATATTTCTGGCTGCTGTCGTGGCATATAGAAAGAGGTTTTTATTTTTTTTCCAATTTCCTTTCCAATCAATCCCAGTAGAAAAGCTTCAGGTCTTTTTGGAAAAGTATATTTAAAGATTTTTTTAAGTTCGTTATAGATTAATTCCCAAAAGCCCTTCACTTTACTACAGGTCCACCACATATGGTAGAGGTCACCTCCACCTCTCCACACTTCCAACATTTTTTATTTTTTGTTCTATACATCCTTGCTAGCTTTACCGGCGTTAGATGCCATCTGTAGATCATTTCCCACAAATTCTCCTTTAAGGCAGTGCAAGCCGTAAATTTCATGTTTACATTCCATAGTTCTTGCCACGCATCAAACTCGATATTATGGCCAAAATCGATAGCCCATTTAACCATGGCTTCCTTTATCTCTTCATCTTTCGTATACCAATCCAATAATAAATGGTATGTTTTTGATAGTACTTTATTTTTACCTTCTAGAAGATCGATATTGAATTTAGATTTCTTATCCTCAAATCCCTTTTTCCTTTTATCTTCTTTTAGTAAATCATTAACTTGGTGATACTGTAACCACCCTGTAAATAAACTCTCTACCTCCTCATACGGCTTGAGTTTTATACCATGATCTGTCTTTTTGGTTAGTTCTTCATAAGTAGCTTTCCCCCCCTTCCATGTTGACTTTTTTGATGGTTAAAACTTCTATTGGTGAAATCCACCAAGGGGTTTTCTTTTCCAATAGGTCTTTGTTTCTTCCCAAACTTGAAATATAGTCGCTACCTTTTAACATACCTTACAGGGTTGTTGTGAAGATGAAATGGGTGGAGGAACAACCTTGTAGGAATAATTTGTGTGTATATATATATATATATATATTCTTTCTAGAGGACTCCCTCCCCCATTAAAGCTCTCTGACCTGCTGCAGTTTTGGGAGCAGCCTGTTGCACAGTGGAGGAACTGAATTTGAGAAAGGACCTTTAAAAATGAGGGCTGGGAGACAGAATCAAGCTGTTTAAAATGCTCTCTGCAGGCCCAGTGACAGAGAGCTAGGGTTACCGCCCTGGAGATGGTGCATCCCATCAGGGTTGACGGATCAGGAGGGAGTGGAGAGTTAAAAGACAGAACCTGACAGATCAGCTGTCAGAAAGAGTGTTTGGAGAGGGTTTGGGTAGGGCTTGGCTAAGGGATGAGCTGGGTGGTTAGGATAATTTCCCTCAAGGGTAGGAAAAGATCCTAGAAAGCATCTGGAAATGTTTTCCTGGCTTAGCAGAACAAATAGCCAGTTGATTAGAAGCAGGTTTAAAGTGAAAGCCTTAAGTAAAATTCTCGATTCTAGCATGATTAGAATCACAGAGTTGGAAGGGATCCTGAGGGTCATCTAGTCCAACCTCTTGAAATGCAGGAATCAGTGCAGGGAACAACCAAGTGTTAAAGCACCCCAACCGCAGTCATGTTACTATGCTCCTATCCCTTCTCCTGGTCCCAGCACCACCCTCCCAGGAATGCTTAGTAGAGATGTAGGACAGGGCCTTCTTGGTGACTGCTCCTAATTTGGAACTCCCTCCTTAGACTTTCTTGTTCCAACAGGCTTTTGGGAACTAACTAGTTTTAAGGAAAGGGCTGGCGCCATGCTGTTTTTATGGTAATTATGGGCAAGGTTTTTGAATGCATTTTATATAATTCCTGCATTGCGGAGGGTTGGACTAGATGATCCTGGGTACCCTTCCAACAATGCTATGATTCTAATGTTGCTCATTGGTCAGCGCAGACACCTTTGCTGGTAAAGTAACTCTACTGCTGCCTATCTCTGTGGTGTCAGTTCTCTGTGAACTGGCCCTGGGGCGATATCCCTTTAAGAGGATTTGCCACGTTCGTCACAGGGACCATAGAGGTAGGAAAAAGTAGAGCGGCGCAAAACATGAATTTTTGGCAGACCGTTCTCGGGTAGCTTTGTAGAGCGGGAAGAGATCCACAGACATATCTAGTCCAACCCCCTGCAATGTAGGGAAACCCTCATAGGTTCCGACCTATGCGGTTCCCTATTCATTTATTGCTTATTCTCAGCCTCTTGGATGGTGTGTGAGTCTATCTTTCTACCTCTATGTGTGGAAAGGCGAGAGGGCAGTGGTAAAGGCCTGACGCCTCTCCTTCATCTGAAACCCAATCAGAATACGGGCGACGTGTGACGTAGAAGCGCTTTTTGTTTTTGTTTTTCGAGGAAAGGTGACAGGCGACGTCAACATCGCCACCCGCGCTGCCCTATCGACCATCCAGAATAGGCGGGGCGAACGAGACGCCGCTAATCCCCCGGCTTCATTTCCCTGAGGGGTGGAGGGAGGCGGGGTGAAGGACACACGGACGTGGCCCATTGGGTAAGGGCGGCGACGGTTTTTCTTTTTTGTCCCCGTCGCAGCCAATCACGGAGCAGAGATTTGACTGACGGGGGGCAAAGGCGGCTTGGGAGGAAAAAAAGGGCTGAAGAGAGGAAGCTTTGCGGGGGGTGAGTGCTGAGGAGAGAGCGAGAGGGGGAGGGGAGGCCGGTCCTCTCCCCCCCTCGCCAGTTCCCGCGCTTTTTTTCCTGTATAGATAACGCGAATGTCAAAAATAAATGAGATGCGATCTGTATTTCGGTTCTAGAAATATGTATGCAGAGACGCGTATACATACGGGACAAATGTTACACGGCTCTTATCTATCTCTCCCTTTCCTCTGAAGCGCAAAGCCCTCGGTTTAATCCACGACGACGCTGCGAGGTAGGCTCGCCTGACAGGAGGCAGCCCCGTGAGCTTTAACGGCTGAGTGGGGAATTTCCTATTTCCCTAAGATTTACGGTATATGCACCGCTTCATAGTAAAACAAAAATCAGAACAGAACACCTCAGAGCAAAAAAGATAAAACAACAAAACGTATTTATGCCTCGGCTATTACTTCAGTGGATATTTATTCTGTTTATAGAACTGTTTCTATACCACCCAATAATAATAATGATCCCTATGTTTTTAACTTTTTTTTTGGTAAGCTGCCTTCCGTCAAGGAAAAAGACGGGTCGTAAATAAATATATAACAATAGTTACTTCAATGGATATTTTGTTTATAGAACTGTTTCTATAACACCTAATAATCATCCTATGTTTTTAACTGTTCTTTTTTTTGTAAGCTGCCTTCAGGTTAAGGAAAAAGGCGGGGCGTAAATAAATATATAACAATAATTACTTCAATGGATATTTTGTCTATAGAACTGTTTCTATAACACCTAATAATAATAATCCTGTTTTTAACTGTTCTTTTTTTTGTAAGCTGCCTTCAGTCAAGGAAAAAGGCGGGGCGTAAATAAATATATAACAATAGTTACTTCAATGGATATTTGTTTACAGAACTGTTTCTATAACACCTAATAATAATAACAATAATAACCCCTATGTTTTTAGCTGTTCTTATTTTTTATTTGTAAGCTGCCTTCAGTCAGGGGAAAAGGCGGAGTGTAACTAAATATACAGCAGTAATGATGATATGGACTCAAATGCACAAGAAGGGAGAGTCTGACTAAACATTAGGAATAGCTTTCCCTTAAGAAAACTCCATTGAGTTTTTTAAAATAAGAGGTTGGATGACCACCAGGGATTCTTTGGCTGTGATTTCAGCATTGCAGGAGGCTCAATTAAATGACCATGGGGTGTTGGGATCCTTCGAACGCTACAATGTTATGAATATCAGGGTGTTTTACAATGCAAAAACATAAGACATCCTTTAAAAAAAATGCAAATAGTTGTTGACTGGCTAGTCAAAGCAAGCCTGTCCGAATATAGTAAAGCAGCCTTGTTTGTTTATGGGTTTTATCCTGTAATAAAATGTTTCTGAACCGTCAATACATGTGTAGAAGAATATTGCCACCTGCACCCTGCTGGTTATGATGCCAGATGTATAATGTTGCCAGATACAGCTTTAATGCAGGCGCAGAAAAAGCTAAACTTGCTAGAATGTCCTCTCCTCTTCAACTGTTCGCAACAATACCTGCCTTCCGCCCCATAATTTGTATAAAGTATAAATTGTGAAGTGAATTGTCAGTTTGTCTTGCGGGGAATGGAGAAGGATCAACACATACTATGCTAAGATGTTTTCTATTTGGTTTCCTGACTTTCCAGGTTGCTCCACAACTGGTGGGCATTTCTCTTTGAGCTTACTGCATGGGATGGCAAGGGGTTTCCTGGCCCGGACAGTTACCGTGGTTTCCCTCACTGTGACTTTAACTGCTGTTGCTGCTAAGTCTTCTTCCTGCACTTACTTCTACCCACTATTTCAAGCAGCCAGGAATCTAGCCTACAGGTATTTGTCCCAAGGTCTAATATTACACTCCTGCTTTCTACATAGATCAGTGAGCAAGGGCTCCTAGATGTGTGGGGAATAATGTCAGACTGATAATGCTGGTAGCCTAATAGTTTTCACAGCCGACTTAATTGTATTGATATGGAAAATTAATAAAATGCATTTTAATTTTATACATTTTAAATGTAAGCATAAGGAATTCTGAGTTATTCTAGCTAGCGCCTTTAAGCTCCTTGGCTAGAATGTTGAAAGCTGGGAGCAAGTTTGCTTCTTGGTGGAACAACTGCGTAGTGGAAATGGAGCCTGCAACAAAAAGTTGCAGTGTATTCTCGCCTCCTAAAAGCAGTGCTCTTATTCAGGTTTCCAGCCACCACACCTTCCTCCAAGATACTCCATTCTCTCTCTCCCTGTCCCCTAATTGTCCTTTGCTGACTTTCTTTTCCAACTAACATTCAGTGTTCCATGGCTACTGATCATACTCCATGAGCACCATACTTGATATTTTATTTTTACAATGTGATGAAACTACAGTTTGGTTGATAGGTCAACAGCTTGTGTAAGGAAATTTCCACCTTCATAGAATTATAGAATTACAGAGTTGAAAGGGACCGCAAGGTCATCTAGTCCAACCCCCTTGCAATGCAGGAATTTGGGCCTTGAGCCTATGACCCTGAGATTAAGAATCTCATTTTCAACAGACTGGGCCATCCTCCTGGGGGAGGATGAACTTTCCCCACTTGCCCACATTTTTAACAGTTGGTTATTTAGCACTTAAATCACACAAGATGTGGAGTTTTCCTGGATGGCTGTGATATTGATGGTGTTTGTATGCAATTTACTATGTATGAAATGTCCCAATCCTGCAACGCACAGCATTACATCAAGTTTATTTTCCCCTTTGTGTGCAACTCCTTCTATTTTTCTACAGCCCATCTTCAGAAAGTTGGTTTCACAGCAAGGCTGCTAAAATGTCGAATTGTAAAGATGCAAGAGAAAATTTGCATAACAAAGCAAGGACCTCCCCATATCCAGGATCAAACATTGAGCGCAGCAGAGTTCCCAACGATAAGGTGGATTGGTCAACTGAATGGGAGGATTACAGCCCTGTGGAATATACAGCACAATCTGTTTTGGCAGGACCTAAATGGGCAGATCCAGAAATTGGGTGAGCATTGTTGGTTGACTAATGGGGTGCAGTAAAAGGGGAGGGCTTGTTTTTGAGAATGACTTAGCTTTTGCTTGACTAAAAGTAAATGGTGGGCATAATATTTATGAATGTGACCATATATTGCCTTCGTTCTTAGTTATAAGAGACAAACTGTTGGAAGAGGTGTTCAGTTATTAAGTTCTCCAGGGACGCTGCTGAATAATAATAATAATAATAATAATAATAATTTTTTATTTATACCCCGCCCTCCCTAGCCAAGGGCAGGCTCAGGGCAGCTAACAAGCAATAATACAGTTCCAGTTCAGGTTATTTATACCCCAAGACTTAAATGGGACTTAAATTTTGGACTAAGGGAGCCACAAATGCTGCAGTTAGAATATGGAGTGCTTAAGCTCACCATTGTGGAAATAGCTTGCTGTACAGATTTTGGCACTTATAGGGTAAATTTTGGAATCTCGTTGACACGTAAAAATTCAGCTCTGTTCATTGCACTTCTAACTGTAGTTATATCAAGGGCAGCAAATATTTTATGTAAGGTTTGCTAATGCATACATGCTTTCTGACAGTGGCAGGGAGTCGTCTTCTTCCTTCTTTGGCGATCACTCGTAGCCGAGTAAGATTGTCTTCCATGAACACGGTCTTAACAGTGAGTCCGTAAGTGACTGTGGAGGCCTATTCTGGATCCACACCTCCTTCCACAGTGGGGACATAGGTTTCCGGGTGGGAGTTGATCATGGTGAGAGTTTGCCAAACGTGCCTTCCTCTTAGGACGTTTTTCCCTTTCGTCCTGAGTTCCAGTGTCTTCAAAGTCCATGACACCTTTGGTGAGAGTGGCAGGGAATAATGAAGGCTCAAGGGGGAAGCCCTCCCTTCTGCTTGGTGAGTTGGCACTGCCACTTAATCCTTCCAGCTGTTGACTAGCAGCTAAACTTAAATATAGCAGCAGCTTTGGATAAGGTGCTTCCTTTATCTTATTTCGTCTGGTAATAGCAAACGTATTACTAGGCATGAATACAATTCCAGAGGAATTGTGCTGAGATCCTACAAATTAACCAAAGTGTTTAATTTTGATATGGGGTGGTGGGATTGGGGAAGCTACCAACAGTAGCCAAGTTAAGCACTTTATAAATTTGTAGGGCTTGTTCACAATCAACAAATGCAAAAGTAAAGGATGCATTCTTTAATTTTATCATGCATTTGATATTGTATATATTTATTGTGGCATGCCCTTTTTCAGAGGTTCTGGAAGGTAGAAAACTCATTTTTTAAAGAAGTTAATAAAAATCATTGCATGCTTGTGGGAGAATTTAAACAGTTGCCGTGAGTCCACATCCAGCACCATCTATACCACACTGGTAGCTTTAAACTACCACCTTTTATTTATTTTGTTTCATAAAATGTATAGACCATTTAGTTGTAAAAAACAAAAACCCTCAAAGCAGTTTTAAAACCTTAAGGAGATTTACTAGCTTAATTCCAGACCACCAAGTGACAAATCGAAGCATGAAGGTCTTACTTTACTAGAAGCAAAGTTATAAATCTAGTCCTCTTTTGGTTTACATAATGGAGGAGTTTATCATGCATTGTCCTGCATGTACTGAAGGCTTATTTGCAGGCCAGGGTGACAACTGAGCCTAGCAACGTAACTTGGCTGTGTCACAGGGAAGAACTTTGCCATTTTCATATAGCACAGCTACCTAGTGTCCCCAGATTTTAGCAGCCACAATGCTAAAAATAAGCATGATTTGAAAAAAGCCAAATATTAGCATTGTTTGTTTAGTGCAAAATTGATGTCATTATGACTTATTCTTTTGAACCATTAAATAACTAGAAGTTTTACCGCTCGCTCTCTGACTGTGTGAGAAAATCAAGAGACGGTCAGCGATCAAGCAGCTGCCAAATTGTTGCCAAACAAGCACTGGCCTTGGGCTACAAACTTCTTTATGTAAGGGCTAGAGAAGGAGACAGCTTTTGTCTAAAAAAGATAGGTCAGATGTGCACATGCTTGAAAGCAGAATGCTTCTCCCACCTACACGAAACTCTAGGCTGTCCATGCTAAGCTTAAAATGCAGCCTTTTAACTAAGTTGTCTGTAACTGGCATCTGTCAAGCAATGAAAAATGAAAGTCTGCCCTTCATCATTGCATTAGGTAGGTCCTGGCTAGACAAAGATGGCATGTGCCCTGCAACCATCCCAAAAAGAGCGCCCCAACACAAGTCCAATTCCCTACATACCTGCACACCACAAACTTTTCCTAACAGTTGGCACACAAACTCATGCCAAGCACATGGATATCACAGAGAAGCACAAATGAAATGAGCAAGCCAAAGAGCACACACAGTAATGCGAAAGCAGACTGAAGAATCTGATAGACAGTTTGAGGATAGGGCAAAAGGATTACAGTAAAGGACATCTTACCAGATAGGATTGGGCTGCCGAGTTGTGATCCTGAATACAGCTAACATTAGAAATAAGTTCCATAGAAACTGGGATGTTGGTAATGCAAATTGAAGGGTTTTTAAATTGTTTATTTCAGTTTTGTTATTATTTTCTTGAAAAGGGTGAAAAACTTTTCTCCAAAGTTCAATGAGAAGGATGGGCAAGTGGAGAGGAGGAGCCAGAATGGTTTCTATCACGTGGAAAATGGGAGGCCCAGGTATTTGACATTCTGTGTTGGTGCTTGTGCATGCATCAAAAGTCTGTGAGTGAAGGTCTTGATCTGATCACATACCTTAGTGAAAATAATCTAAGAGGTCAACACTGATTCACTGGTTCAGAATCCTGGTTGCCTGTCTGCTAAAATGTGTGTCCAATACATATTTGCAAGTTTCCAAGCTAAAACTCTTCTGAAGCTATTTTCTGAAGCCTTGATTGCCATTAGGACCATGGGTTTAAAAGACAATTAAAAGAGCATAACTTCAACCAGTATTGCTATTATGTGAAAGGCAAAGTAATGGTTGTTATGTGGCCCAAGTGTAAAGAATGAAGCAGGAAGAAAAGGTTTATCTCATGCTGTTTCATAGCTCCATGAGTTGTTCTTGATAATGTTTTTCTTAACTGTGTATTTAATGTAAACTCCTTGATAGTGCATTAGGCATGTAAACCAGATTATACATTCTTATTCCTCAGAAAATTATATTCAGGACTTTAGCATTTAAAAAGAAAACACTGAAACTATTACATGCTTTTAAAATGCATTCTAAAAAATGAGAATATAAGAAAAACATCTCTAACAAAATCTTGAATACCCTGTAAGCCATTTGTTCCCGATCATCCGCCCCTCCGCCTATTGTAGCAATCGTAATGCAGTGTGCTAGATGCTGTATTTAATTGCTTTTATTTCTTACATAGTATTTTATAATAATACTATTTTCATCCCTTACATTGTAATACAACAAAAAGATATGAAAAATAAGATGAACGATTAAAATGCAATTAAAAATCAATATGAATACTTAATGTAGACATGCCGCGGACCACCTGAATGAAACTCACAGACCACTGGTGGTCTACAGACCACAGTTAGGGAACCCCTGCTATAACACTGTCATAACACTGTTTCGTTAAATATTTTTAAAAATACATATGCTTCAAAGACCTATTTTGGGTGCACCAAAGAGGCTAGACATGCCCAGTAGGGTTTTGGTCTTTGAACAGCAGATCCATCCCGCTCCCAATTCTGTATCACAGACTGCATTTGAAAGGCTTCCATGTTTCAAAAGTAGTGTGCTAAGTGGCATTTGGTTAAGAGGGGGCGTTGCTGTTCAAGAAAGATGAGCTGCAGTCTTCTTTGGCCATGTGGAACTTCAGTTGTGTGGGCCTTTGGATCGTATCCAGGCATTCATTTGTGCTCTGTTGTTTTTCAGGAATCCTGTAGGCAGGACAGGATTAGTGGGCCGAGGTCTCTTGGGGCGTTGGGGACCAAATCATGCTGCAGATCCTCTTGTAACTAAGTAAGTAATATCATTCCAGATGATGTCAAATGGGAATATTTTACGTTCAAGTCAATATGTGAAATATTAAAAATGCTGATCATGATATTGCTTCTAATTCTACTTTAAGATGACTTTAAAAACTATATGGAAGCAATTGCTATGTTGCCTGAGCCCCCACAATGCATCCTTGCTGAGCAGACCCAAGGTTTTCACATTCATTTCAGTTCCAATGTTCTGGGTGGGTTCAGACAGAATACCAAACTGTGGAACTGTATGAATGAGCCCAGAGCTCACACACTCTCTCCTTCTTCTCTTCATTTCCTCTGTTTACCTCCCTCACTTCCAGTTCAGCAGCAAGCCTTACATTTGCAACTGCAACAAAATCCGGCGAAACATGGTTCAGAAGTAGCAGCAAATTGTGTCTTGCAGCTAAATTGCAAGCAAGAGAATCTGAGCATGTGGTGTGAGTGGGAAGTAAGCAGGCATTGGGCTCATAGCTATGGTTTGATGTTACATCTGAAGTGCCGTTTCCCTGCATGTCTTGAGCTGAACCACAGATTAATCTTTTTTCCCCTGTTACTCTTTGCAGGTGGAAGAGAGACGGCAGTGGCAATAAAGTAGCTCACCCAGCGTCTGGCAAAAGTATCTTGCAGTTCATCGCAATCAAAAGGAAGGACTGCGGGGAATGGGCCATTCCAGGGGTGAGAAGAGAGAATTGACAGAATCGGTTTTCAAAAATGTGCTGGTCTCCAAAAGACTCAGTGTGTGTGTCACAGCTCCCTTTCTTGCTAAGCATTTGAAGGATTACTAAAAGGATTACTAAAATCTTCACCTGGAGAGGGAAACCTTTTTCATCCTGAGGGCCACATTTCCTTCTGAGGGCTGCACACTAGCTCCTGTACCTCGGGTTACAGATGCTTCAGGTTACAGATGCTTCAGATTACAGACTCAGCTAACCCAGAAATAGTACCTCGGGTTAAGAACTTTGCTTTAGGATGAGAACAGAAATCATGCTCCGGCGGCACGGCAGCAGCAGCAGGCCCCATTAGCTAAAGTGGTACCTCAGGTTAAGAACAGTTTCAGGTTAAGAACAGACCTCCAGAACGAATTATGTTCTTAACCTGAGGTACCCCTGATCCCCTCTGTATTGATTCCTGCATTGCAGGGGGTTGGACTAGATGACCCTTGAGTCCCTTCCAACTCTATGATTCTGTGATTCCTTCATCCAGATGAGCAAGAGGTACTGTCACAGTTCAAGGGCACATTCCAGCCAGGCAAAAACATGGGTTTAAAGCAGAGCCAGTGAGGGCTGTGGCTTGCAGAGAGTGGCGGCAGTCTGGGGAAAGTTCTGAGTGCCAGATAGAGAGATTTGAACAGCTGCATTACCCCCCCACCCCCCGCCTGAGGTTCCTCACCCCTGAGCTACACCCAGAAAAACTAACAACACTCAGCAGCTGGCTATTCATTGTTAACGTGGCATATTAGGCCGTGAGTAAGGGCATAACTGACATATCAAGAGATCTGTCATCAGATATCTCCATTGTTTTTCATTTTTTAAACTATCATCTGCCGTTGTCATATTTCATATCATCCCTGCCTTACCCCTTGATATGGTTTTTATAATGATAATCGCCCTCCCCTACAAAGGCAGGATTAGCCTCAAAGGGAAAGCATCCAGGCTCTGAAGGAAGTTGTAACAAGTGACAACCTTTTATTTTAGGGCATGGTAGACCCAGGAGAAAAATTGTCGGCTGCACTAAAGAGAGAATTTAGCGAGGAGGCCTTGAACTCCTTACAGAAAACTGAGGCTGAGAAGGAAGAGATGGAGAAACAACTGAACAGGCTGTTCAGTCAAGATTACTTTGTGGTGAGTGCCCTCTCTGCTCCTGTTATAATTTTGCAAGCCCATTAAATATTACATGCGAAGGTCGATGGAACTCTTTTCAATTACATTTCAAAGAGTAGCAGCTTCTTATTAAGCAGCTTTTGGTAGCAGGAAGTATAACAACCTTTAATGGACTGATTAAAATAATCTGTACAACATTCTCTCCACCCCGTTTTTAGTACATTTTAAAGAAAAGTGCTTTTAAAAACCGCCAGTGGCAAGCATACATTAAATGGCATTTCCCTTGTTCCAAGACGATATCTGGTGTGACTTAAGCATGCACCATTCAAAAACAAATATTTTTTTCTTTGAATTTCCCATCTCAGATGCACATTTTTTGCAGATTTATTTAGTTGACAAACTCACGTGATTATCTGCCTAAGACTTCTTTAATTGGGCAAGAGCCCAAATAGTAAACAGGACAGTTGTCAGCCTGTATCTTGGCTTTCCAGGTATACAAAGGGTATGTGGATGATCCTCGTAACACAGACAATGCTTGGATGGAGACAGAAGCCGTAAACTACCATGATGAAACTGGTGAGTAAGGGATGCTGCCTTCCTTGTGGCCCCACCCATTGTCATGTTGTTGGAACAAGGGTGGGGAACCAGGGGCCTTCAGACGTTCTGCACTACAATTCTCAGCACGAGCCAGCATGGCCAGTGGACAGGGATGATGGGAACTATAGTCTAACAACTGGAGGACCACAAGTTCCTCATCTCTGTTAGAAGATGGGAAGGATAATAATTATTTTTCCAGTTGCTAACCATTCCCCCCCCCCACATTCTTGACTATAGGAAGTTGGAGGAGGACAGAAAAATTTTTTTAAGTAATACTTGAATGCCTAATTGTTGGCACACTTACTTGTGCATTGTTATGCTAGATTGTTATTTTTTTTAAAGTTCAACACTAAAAACCAAAAAAAGTTTCCTGATGACTAAGTGGCACATGGGTACCATTGCACAAAAAATGTCATCTTGTTATCATTTGTTGCTTTAAGTTTCAAGCAGACTCCTATGTTTCTGCATACCAAACCAGTCCATTGGTTCATCTAGCTCAGTATTGCAGTGGCTATTCAGATAGGGATCTTTCCCAGCTGTAACTGAAGATGTTAGTGATGGAACCTGGGGCCTCCTGCATGCAAAATATTCACTCTGCCACTGAGCTATCACCCTTCCTTTGTGTTCAAGCCTGATTCCTTGGGACAAGGTGGGCTGTCAAATCTACAGAAAGTATGAGAACTTCTGTCACAAGAGTATTCGGTGAAAAGAACTGTTTACTTATGTCCTTTGCCATGGAAGCTGTCATGGGGTAGAAGTCCTGGTGGAGGATTTAGTGGGTTGTGCTGTAGGTTAAAAGGATTCAAACTAATGCCAGAATCTCTCTTTGTATAACAGGTGAAGCAATGGAGAATTTACACTTGGAAGCAGGAGATGATGCTGGGAAAGTGAAATGGGTTGACATTGGAGAAAAGCTGAAACTCTATGCCAGTCATGCTGACTTTGTCAAGCTCGTAGCAGAGAAAAGAGGAGCACACTGGAGGGAGGATCATAACCTGGTTTGCCATGATGGGGCTGAGATCAAGGCCTAAACTAAAGCCTAAACATGGCTGATAGAAGTTTAGGGATGGAATGAGGTGTTAATACTGCTTTGAAGAATGAGATTACTGATGTATGGATGGAGAACCTGCAGCCCTTCAGATTTGTTGGACTCCAGTTCCCATCAGCCCCATTCACCATGTGCCAGTGGGCAGGGCTGATAGGAGTTGTAATCCAACAGCATCTAGAGTTCCACAGCTTCCTCATCCTTGTCTTAAAGCCGCAAAGGATGAGCAGCCAAATTTAAGTGAAGCCAAATCCCCATTAAATTTTCCAGTAAAATAAAATCAGTGTGACTTCTAAATGTCTAGCTTTGGCTGCACGGTGCCCTCTCTATCAAGAAATATTGCTAAGGTATTCAAGAACACATTCTGCATCCATTATACGTAAATAAAAACATGTATAAGGGTGTGGTTTTTGTTGATCAACAGGAGTGTTGAGAGGTATTTTACAATTATAAAAATTAACAGCTGCAATCAGTTTTACTTCCTGACATTGATATAATGTTATGGAAATAATCCTTTAGTGTCTGCACTTAATATTTATTGCCATAATCAGGAAGCAATTTAGGTTGCGTTCCTATGCACTTAATCTGGAAATAAACCCCATTGAACCCAGAGGGACTTGCTTCTGAGTAAACCATGCACAGAGTTGCATTGTGTATCTTTAAATCATAATCTGAATTATCTCTTGTTCATCATACAAAATAAGCCACCATACTATTGTTGTTTTTACCACACTGATCCTAGTATTTGTAGAGAAGGGAAAAGAGATCTTTGGTATAATCACAAAGAAAATGTAATATAGGATTTGACCCAGGAGCCTATGATTGAGGAAACAGAGAGCAACACAAACATGTTTTAAAATATTTACTTGGCTGAATGAAACACACCTCTAGGCTTAGCTCATATTGGAATGAAACACTCTAGTAAGCTTATCTTATATTGCCATTTCCAATTTTTTAAAAAAGTGGGAGCTCTTTTAATTATTCTCGTTTCCTGTACTGGCTGAGCTTTCACTGTTTTGGCTACTGGAGAATATTTTAATATACAGGAACTGGATGTTTTAGTGTTTGAACAGAAGCTCTCTGGACTCCAGTCACAGAATATTCTTGTTTGAAACCACCAGCAGTTTAGAAACCTGCTTTCAAGCACTTAATATTTCTACCACCAAAGTGATTGTAAACTACCTTGGACCACTCTAAAGAATAGCTTTGCCTCCGAGCCACTGTTGGAGTGTCTTCATGCCATGGCCTGCCTAAAGGTCATTATACTTTGGAACCAACTCCGTAATGACAAAGTCTTATCAACAAATCAATAACGCTAACCTTTTATGCCAGCCAGCTTCTCATTGGTTATATTGTAGCGCTTAGTTTTTTCTTATGAACCTTTGGCTAAAGTTTGGGATGGCTGTTCATTATGTACCCTTCTATTTGTTATGTCAAGCTGCCAATATTTTCTGAAACACATAACAAAGCGGTTTTATTCTTTGACTTCTGAATAAATTGCACAGCAGCCACAGTTTCTGGCATGCCTTGCCTTCTGCATATGTTATCTGTTTTTGCTTTGCTCCGACAGGCCCCAAAACACCATTGCCCAGCAATCGTTCTTCCATCCCGGAGTCCTGACTCTGGACAAATGGGAGGGCAAAATGCTGGAATACAATATTACTCAAGCCAGCAGCACAACTGGATACCTTCATCTGCCCCAGCCACAACAAAACATGTATTTACCACATTGGTCTCTACAGCTACTGTAGGTGCTGCAACCATCCAACAGCTTGACCTCATCCCCAAAGGCACACTGCTCCATTGGCTCCCGAGACAGACTGATGCCAACAAAATCCTGTCATTGTAAGGAGAACGTATGCTCATCATCCTGGGAGCTGGTATTTAATCTTTTTGAATGTGATATGACCTCCATTTATTCCAGAAGAAAAATTAACCCAGATATCAAATGTTTGGGAAATGCTGATATAATAAAACCATCTGGCTCGCACTTTATGCTAAGGTTTATTGAACAATTTTTTGTATTAAGTGTTATATATAAATTCTGCACAGCAGCTTAACAATGGTTTGTTTATAGCATGAAGCCCTTAGCTTATGAACCTTGATTTGTTTTAACCAAGGCTTGGCACTATGTGAGAATGCAACACCATTCTTTAACCATAGGGGTTTTTGGGGTTGTTGTTTTTTGGCCTCAGACATTCATCAAGCTGCCAAGTCCTTTGCAGCTAGAAAACAAGCCATGGTTTGTTCAGTCACTTGTGGAATAACACATTGTTAATTGCGGTTCATTAAGCAAACCACGGCTTACTGTTGTGTGCAAACTAGGCCAGCACTGTGGTTAGGCTTTGTCAGAAGCTACTGAATCTACATGGAAAAGAAAAACCCAAAATACTGAGGTGTGAAAAATTGTGACGTGTTGATTCTGCTCCAAACAGACCTTAAACATAAATTTGATGTGCTCATTTGTATTCTTTATTCATGCAATTTTTAAAGGGAATACCCCTCCCATTTTCCAGCAAGAAACATAAAAGATATTGTGGGCTGGGTACTGTTAGTTACATCTTAGTACCGTGGGACTTAAGTTAGTCATAACTAATTTTTCCCATTGATTGGAATGGAATTAAAACACAATTAATTGAAAGTGACCTATTTGGCTGAAATCTGTTAAGCAAGATATTTCAATCACTTACTGAGGCAGAGCAGCAAACCAAAATTTATGCATTTCTACCTATGTGTTACACAATGCAGCATTCATACATTTATCATCTTTAGTGGTGTTAATGAACTTTAAACCCATAGTTAAAACCGTGGTCTTTTCTTTTAAAATTTGACAATTTCAAAATGGAACTGTCAGTGCTTACATTTACCCAATCAAACATGAACACTGCTTAGATTAGAAGCTGATGCTTTTATATTGCATTAGGTGAAAACAATTCTTCACAAGAGATGACATCGTTGTCAAAAAAAGAAATTACTATTACTTATAGCCATTTAAAGCAAACAACTGCCATTCAAGATGCATACAAATGTGGCTTGAAGACTGCAGCAGGGAAGTAAAAGCAGGCATGGAGCACATCCTTCATGTTCTTGCTGTCACCTTTAGAACACAAAATCAGATTTGAAGCTGAACGAATCTCTTAAACTGGGTTTAAAAAGCATAGGCAACAACTCTTTCTCTTTCTCTTTTTTTGCAAGATCCCATCAATCTACTCTGCTTCACTCTGTAGTAGAGCATATACTTTGTACCTAGAAGATCCCAGATAGGGTTAGGAAAAAGACTTTGGCCTGAAAATTCTAGAGAGCCATTGCTAGTTAATGTATACAATATTGAGCTTGATGGACCAATAGTCTGATTTGATGTGTGACAGAGATTTACAAGCTTGCAGGGCCGGCCCACCCATGAGGCAAGGTGAAGCAACCGCCTCAGGCAGCAGGACCCACAGGGGCAGCAGATGTAGATCATTATTCTCCTCTTGTTCCTGATGTAGATCTTCACTCATCCCTTCTTCCCTGGCGGGGAGGGGGGTGCCTTTTTGTGGTTTTCCTCGGACATCCATAATGTCTTGGGCTGGCCCTGGTCACTTGTCTCATTGCGCTACAAATCTGCTCTCCAATTCAGCCAAAGCAAAGTCCTTGAAAATCCCATTGGTTTCTGTTTCACTGAAAGCCATGGGGCACCCAGCCCAATTTTATGCATTTTTACTTGGGGATACAATGAAACCTGCTCTCAGGTATATGGAATAGGATTGTAGCCTTAAGCATTTTTAAACATTCACTGGAATGTGTCCTGAATAAGTGAGGGAAGTTGGCACACATGACGGGATGCTGTACAGGTTTTGGCATACTAGTATTAAACATAAGCCTTGTGCCTTGGCTTGCTGACAGTTAAGCATTTCATAAAGCAGCAAAGCTATAAATGATATGAAATGGAATTTGCCAACAAAACATTTGGTACATACCGCAGGAGGGTATATCAGCTGGGATGCTATTTCTGTTGAAGAAAGTAATGTTTCATTGGTTAAAAGTTCTTATACAGAAAGTATGTAGACAGCACTTGTTCCCAATGTCTGATTCTGGTCCCTGGTAAAACTCTGTCCCAGTTTGGATGATCTTTTAAAGCTTCATCCACCACAGCCCTGGATGGTTTCTTATCCCATCATTCAGTTAAAGTTCATCAGTTCAGATGTAATGGGGAACTCTGGCTTAACACAAGCCATGAAGGAAGGAGAGTGGGGAGTACTTAGCCCTGAGGCTCATTCATAAACCATGATTTGTTCATAATACTATGTTATGTTTTTTGAGGAGATGTTGGGGGAAGCCTTTGGGAGTTCATGCATATGCTGTTGTGGTTTCTTTAGGCTTCCTCCCCTTAGGGCATAGAATCATAGGACTGAAGAGTTGAAAGGGACCACAAGGGTCATCTTGCACAACCCCCAGCAGAATTTTTTTGCCCAATGAGGGGCTTGAACCCACAGCCCTGAGATTAAGAGCCTCATGCTCTACTGACAGAGCTATCCCAGCTTTCCCTCTTATCCCGTTGCTATCTCCATGGGGGGGGGGGGGACCAATCTTTACCACTCAGAGCAAATGGCAAGTTGAGTTTTTGCTCCGATTTTGAGCTAAAGAATAGGTTTTACCTGGGAAAGGCATGGGGCAAGCATGACTGTGGATGAGGGGCATAGAAACTGAACCTTTTCGGTAGGCAGGGGCATAGTGGGGGAAGCAGGGAGGCCATGGCCCTGGGTGCACATTTTTGAGGGGGCACAAACCAGCCCCCCCCCCCGCAGACTCCAGCTGGTTGTTCTTAGTACCAATAGAAGCATAAAACTACTTACCCCCACAATAGGTGGGAAGCCCTAAAAATGTGTAAGACAGTAAGACTATTGAAAAGCATTTGACATAAATCTTGGTATCCTCCAAGAAAGGTGTGGGCAGATATCAGGCAGAAAGGAATCTGCTTTCTTTGCTACCCACTTCCCGCACCCAGAAACTGAAATCCACCAATAAGAGCATGTGCAAAAAACATTGATTCACCACCAGGTACCTTCCCTGGTACTCAAAAGGTACCCCTCCCACTTCTGAAATTACACTTGAAAGTAGTATTCCACTGTAGCCAATGGAATAGGTCGCAGTGTGTGACTGACCATTGCATGTGGTCTGCAACAGTTTCACCAGATCTCAAATGTAGTCCATGGACCCCAAGAGACTGGTGACACCTGACTTAAGAGTTAAAGACTTCTGAGCCCAGGAATTTGTTTTTAGTGCCAAACTGAACTATGCTCTGAGCTTATAGTTCTTCCTAACCCTTTGTTCTTCCAGACTCTTTGTTACTGCCCCATCTGCCCACGTTTTCTTCATTTTAGCATAGTATATATATTTGGAGGGGGTATTCTGTAAAATAATTGGATTCAGAAATCCTTGCTGATCTACTTCAAATCACTCAGATATCCGCAGTAGATCTCAACCCATTTCCTACCCATCCCTGCATGACGGCACAGTGTAAGCTATCTATTTATATTTTTTATATTTGCCCATCTATGTCAGCATTGTCTGAGCATGAATTAAATTTATTTCTAGGACTAGGAAACGTATACACCCTAAACTAGTTACCACCAGCTCTAGAACTAGTTACCACCAGCTCTAGAAAACAAGCTCTCTCTCTGTTCAACTTCCCCTGACTTGCTGGATATCTTACACTCCCCAAATATACGTAAAAGTCTCATACTTATAAAAAAACATAAATGTCCCCTACTCATATAGTCGAATTATGAGTAAAAACAAGCTATGATCTTGGTATATTGAACTCTTGGGATCTTGCAGAATTCAATAAAAGTATTTAGCATGTATATGTGAGGGCAGGGACACAGGTGGCACTGTGGGTTAAACCACAGAGCCTAGAACTTGCTGATCAGAAGGTCGGCGGTTCGAATCCCTGCGACAGGGTGAGCTCCTGTTGTTCGGTCCCTGCTCTGGCCAACCTAGCAGTTCGAAAGCACGTCAAAGTGCAAGTAGATAAATAGGTACCGCTGTGGCGGGAAGGTAAACGGCGTTTCCGTTCGCTGTTCTGGTTCGCCAGAAGCGGCTTAGTCATGCTGGCCACATGATCCGGAAGCTGTCTGCGGACAAACGCCCGCTCCCTCGGCCAATAAAGCGAGATGAGCGCCGCAACCCCAGAGTCGGTCACGACTGGACCTAATGGTCAGGGGTCCCTTTACCTTTATGTGAGGGCAAGGAAAACTGTTTGCCAATAAATCTGAAGAACTGGAAACTTCTAGAGTGGTTTGGAATTCAAAACAGAGCACTATAAAATCTTTTGAAGATTTTGTTTGCCTTTTGGTTTTTAAATGAAACACTGTTAATTATTGTTAATTTTTATTGAGATCATAAATATGTTAAAAGTTGCGAATAATGAAATAATATGTCTTCATATTTCATATGTTTTTTTGGTTCTGACAGGTAACCACGGAAGCCACTTTTTCAAAATTCCAAATGTGCCCATGACCTCCCCCACAAACATTGAGGGCTTTCTCTCCCCGCTTCTATTGCAGGATACCTTTCATTAAGTGCAATGGCCTAAACCCACTCATATAATCAGGCAATCATTCAAAGACCTCTGAGTTTCCCCTTGGATCTCTGACTATGGAAGTATGATGCAATGAAGATCAATGAACTTACCGCCCCAGGAATTCCAGGATAAGGGATCTAGAGAGAGGCAAAAAATCAGTATACTGCATTCTTGTAACAGAGGTCAGTCACACGGTTATTTGGTGAACATTATGGGCCGATTTCCACAGTGCAGTGTAGATATCCCCGCCCCCCGCCACTGTGCTACAATCTAGTAATAATGATGAACAGTAAATTGTCTTACCAGAAATGGGCCACCAACACCTCCAGCTCCAGGGTTCACCTAAAGAGAAGGGACCTCATTCAGTCATATAAAGCTTGGTTTCAAATGGTGGTTTTCTATATCCGGGAGCTGCCATAATGTGGTGGCAATGAGGTAACTATGAGATCATTCACTTTAGCTAAAGTATTTACAACACCGATGCAGAATTTGAAAAGTGTTGCTCTCTTGGTGCATTTTATTCCTTTCCCATCTCTTAAATTTCATAGATTTGGGGAGCAACCCAGAGAAAGTAAATGGCATTCCACAATGCAATCTTATCCATGTTTGCTCAGAAAGTACTGTAACTCCCACTGAGTTCATAGGGATTTTTCCTTCCAGGTATAACATTGAACTCAATGTGGCTTACTTCTGAGTAGAGAGGTTTTGAGTATTACGCTTCAAATGCACTCATTCAATGATCGTAACTAACGTTATTCGATTAGTGCTCTTTTGAATCCCCACAAAGAAGTCTGTTCTGAAATTGGTTAAGCCAGAATTGGCATTGTATATTTATTTTTCAGTTCATTTGATCAAATGCGCATGAGTTTTTGTATGGAAGTGCATACAAACTGACACCCTCCAGATGTTCTAGACTAAAACTTCCATCAGCCCCAGCCAGGAGAGTCATACAAGTTGGTTCTGATAGGAGGAAAACAGGCTGGAAAACAGCATAGACATTCAAAAATGTGAACTTTTTTTTATTAAAAAAAGAGAAGGACTGGTGAAACCATAGGAGAGATGGCAGGAGATAACAAAGGAACTACCTTGTGGATGATATTTCACCCTTGAACTCTCATTTCTTACTCAATCTGAGTGTTAACCACAGCTGCTGCTTATGTAAGTCTGAAATAGGTGGTGGTATAGAAAGCAAGCAGAATTTTGAACTTACCACGCCTGGCAGATTGGAGAGAATAGAGGGCAAACCCTAAGCGAAAACAAGAAAACAAGGGAGATAGTTGGTTTTGATTCAATATCAATATTTAAATTAGTCACTTTTTAAAAAAGCAAAAGCGACTCAAAGTGACTCACAACGGTAAATAACACACACACATTAAAACAAAACTGAGAAAAATCTGATGGGTTACACTATCTAGGTTGCCTCCTTGTGGCAAAGCAGGTTAATTACTAACACACACTGATCAATGCTCAGAGTATTCCTTCTTCTAGGTGGGCTCCCTTCCCAGGTTGACAAGCCCCATCTGCCCCTCACTTCCCTCTACTACAGGCTTCCTCAAACTCAGCCCTCCAGATGTTTTTGGCCTACAACTCCCATGACCCCTAGCTAGCAGGACCAGTGGTCAGGGATGATGGAAATTGTAGTCTCAAAACACCTGGAGGGCCGAGTTTGAGGAAGCCTGCTCTACAACATGGGCAGAAACCACCCTCATGGACTCAGTGTTGGTCTCATCTGCTCAGTCTACCAGTGCCTGTCTTTGGATGCAGGGAAAGTCCCTAACTCACCAAGGGTTCAAGACCCGACGGCTACCTTCACCTGGTTTATGTTTGAGATATAAACACTCATCACAGGATTTCCCACCTAGCCCTTATCCCCCCAGTCTGAATCCTTGCTTTTCCCCTCTGTGCTAGAATTCTCCCATGCATTGATATCAAGAAGTTACCTGAGCTGGATCATAGGTCACATAGATCGGGATCATCTGTAAAAGAAACAAGGCTATGAAACAAATCGCGCTAACATATTTGCCTTTAATTATCTTAATAAAAAAATAATTCCTTCCATAGCACCTTAGAGACCAACTAAGTTTGTTATTGGTATCTGAAGAAGTGTGCATGCACACGAAAGCTCATACCAATAAGAACCTTAGTTGGTCTCTAAGGTGCTACTGGAAGGAATTATTTTTATTTTGTTTCAACTACGGCAGACCAACACGGCTACTTACATGTGACTTTAATTATCTTGTTATTCACATCCCCCTCATTAAATGTCTCTGTCCAGTTGCTAAGGCATCTTCTCAACAAAACGGTCAGCTGCATGAAATGTCATTTCCCCCCTTGTGTACAGTACACACCAGACTTTGGCGAAGAAAACCAAGGTTCTTATTGAGAACTACAGTTGTTTGAAACAATGGTGCCATCTGGTGGTATAGCAATTCTATAAGGGTTTTAGGAAGTGTTCAGCCACCCAGGAATCAGCTAAAGGAAGGGCTAGTAATTTGGGCTCTATGCATAACAGAACAGCATCAAACCAACATCAAACCAACCTCATACTAGAAATATGTATGTCAGTTCTTGGATGTTACAGCAGCATATTTTATTGCATTTTATTGTATACTGTATCACCTTGTTATTTTTAATTGAAGGTAGAATGAAAATGTGCTTATTGTATAAATGAGTTGAATACAATGCCTAGGAAAACACAGTGTTACTAAGATCCCCTCCAGACATCCTATTTATCATGCATTCATAATGACTTACGCTCATGCTACTGGGATGCTCATACGAGATCTTGCTCTCAATACTGTTTGCGCCCACAAAAAGTTCTAGGGCAGTCACACTGCTCCATTTCCAATTAGTGCATATCCTGCAACAGCCTGCTGAGATTCTGCAACTTTTACAGCACAAATGCTCTGGTTTATTTTTTGTCTTTCTTTTGTTGTGCTATAACTCTCCACCCCACCTGCCCCGAAAGCAATAACGCAGTAGTATTGGAGAAGCATTGAAGAACAAAGTACAGTGGATGCTCAGGTTGCGAACGTGATCTGTGTGGGATGCATGTTCGCAACCTGCAGCGTTCACAACCGGCGTCTGCGCACGCACGGGTTGCGATTTGGCGCTTCTGCGCATGCGTGACCACCAAAACCCGGAAGTAACCCGTTGAGGTACTTCCGGGTTTCGGCAGTCCGCAATCCGAAAAAAACGCAACCTGAAGCGGCTGTAACCCGAGGTATGACTGTAAAGCAGAATTAAGGCAGCATTAATGCACTGTTATTGTATCAAGAGCATGCTGCAGAATACACCCACAATTAGGGGTGCTGACTTGCCCCCCACATTAAGGTGGCCCAGCATCATGTGAAGTCATAATAATAATAATAATAATAATAATAATAATTTATTATTTATACCCCGCCCATCTGGCTGGGCTTCCCCAGCCACTCTGGGTGGCTTCCAGAAAAATATTAAAATACTGTAATACATCAAACATTAAAAGCTTCCCTAAATAGGGCTGCCTTCAGATGTCTTCTAAAAGTCTGGTAATTGTTTTTCTCTTTGACATCTAGTGGGAGGGCATTCCACAGGGAGGGCACCACTACCGAAAAGGCCCTCTGCCTGGTTCCCTGTAACTTGGCTTCTTGCAGTGAGGGAACCGCCAGAAGGCCCTCGGTGCTGGACCTCAGTGTCCGGGTAGAACGATGGAGGTGGAGACGCTCCTTCAGTCATACACATGACCTCAATATTTGGGGGGAGGGCTCAGCCCCTTGCCCACAAATATTCAGGGGGCCGAATCCCCTTCCAACCCCTATAGTTGGCGCGGCTGCCCACAACAAAGCAGTAGTCAGGAGCAGCCTTGCGCACCATCTCTTTGTTGCTCCCAGGTAATATCAAATCCAGCATGACAATATGGCACCCTTTAAAATGGCCTCTAGATGACGATGTAGGCCACCCTCTTGCAACCTGCCATCAGTGGGCTCTTCCTGTTTGGGGAGCAAGGCATCCAGGGATGCAGAAGCATAGATCTTCATTTTGGTGAATGGGTTTTGTGCCACTGAAGGAATGAACTTAGTACTTGCCACAAGCATAGGCATGCTGTGCTGGTATTACCTGAGGTGGGTATGGCTGCGGTGGAATCTGAGGTGGGTATGGTTGTGCCGGAAGTGGAGGAGGAAACTGAGGAAGCAACTGAGGAGGAACCTGAGGAGGCACTTGAGGAGCCATGATAGGAAGGCGCTGTGGAAACAGAGAAACAGAAGGTGGAGACAGACAACACCGGAAGTGTGGTGGAAGTGGCTTGAACACACTCTGCTGACATCCACACTTGATTCCTGTAATGCTCTCTCTGCAGGGCTACCTTTAAGAAAGCAACTGTCAAATTGCTTATGGGATCATGTGACACCCATTCTGTTCCAATTTAATTGGTTGCGTGTGTGTTTTGAGGCTCAATGTATATTGGCCTTCTTCAGCCTGTTGCTCTCTGGATGTTACAGACTGCAACTCCTATCAGTCTCAGCATGACTATATTAAAGAGCTGGTTTTGATATTTTAAACCCTGAACAGTTAAGGACCAGGTTGCTCGAAAGGCTACCTGCATCTTGGTGAACATGAGATCAGTCATCATCAGAAGCCTATCAAAATCAAGCAGATTTTGAAAACTGATTTGCTCTGGTTGGTATTTGATTGATGGCTTTATGCTTTTACACCCACACACACCCACACACCCACACACCCCTCATACTGTTTGATATACGAAGTTTACTAAATTTGGGGAGCGGCCTTGTGAAGGGTCTGCCCTAAAAATAGTGGAGTCAAAATTAAGGTAACAAACAAGCAAACATATTCATGCTGCTCTTAAAAAACCCCTGCCAGAAATCAAAAGCATCTTCCAGAATGTGTGCTTTTAATATTGTTTCCATGGCACTAACACTCTTGCACACAGAAGGTTATTGATATAATTATAATTTTTATTTTATATACCACTTGTATACCAGAAAGGCTTCTAAGTGGCATACAACTATAAAATCAATGCACAATCAAAATACACAATAACAAATCCATTGGGACATCTCACCATCCTGAATTAAAATATACAATAAAACAAACAATAAAATATTACAATTAAAACAATTAAGAAATACACAAGATGGTTTACCTCGTTGCTGGCACTGCCACTTGCTGACCGCTGTCAAAACATATGAAATAAAAACAGGGTTAGATTTCGTGTTTTGTGGGTTAGATTTCATGCTTTATCCTCACAGGATAACATTGGGCGTATTCCTCTAGAACCCAAGCAAAGGTTCCACATATACTTTATTCCCCATTTCCTCAGGTTCCTGTCACCTCCCATGTGAATTCTTCTCTCTTCCCTCATCTCACAATGCAGTTGGAGGCACAACTTGTCCTTGCCCATGGATTGGTCAACGAGAGTTTGCTGGGAGAAGGCCAGAGTCCCTAGCATGATGCCTCCAGAGACCCCTCTTGCAGCCCATGGAGGCTTCTACCTCTCCAAACAGTTCTTTTGTCACTTGTTTTCATTTGGGCAACGCTGGCCCAGCTCGAAAATGAATTTCAGGTGTCTAGACCCCTCAGCCTTCCCTAACATGTCTCTGAGCCCAGAGACATTTCCCTGAGCAAAGGAGGAGAGGGGCAGCTGGTGTAAGGAAAGGAAGATGATGATTCAGCAGCTAGAGTCTGGTGCCTGGCATAACAGGAGGGAGGGAAGGAAGGAAGGAAGGAAGGAGATTGAGGCAACCACTTCATATGAGCCAGGACTTGTTTATATAATCAGTATACAGAGTTGGTTATTCAATGAATGCCAGTTTGGGGCATACACATCTCTGAAATGGTGAACTCAAGTGTGATAAATTGCTGTTTGTATAACATACACAAGATTGGAAGAGCCTATGAAACAGGCTTTCCCATTATATGCACACTAGGCAAAATGCACATGTGGTGGCACGCTTGCAACTTTCTATGCAGAACTGATACCCAGAGTAGGAAATATGTCATGTGTTTAGCAGCCCAAATGGCTCTGATTATCTCTTTGACATCCCCCCCACCTTTACTTATTTTTATCTCATTGTGATGTTGTTACAGTGCGCAACAACTGTATTACGAAGAGATTCAAGCTGTAGTTGGCCTGACAGGTTTCCCCATTCCACAGGTTCAGTGCTACTTACACGGACTGGGACAGCGGCTGCTATGCTCAGAATGCAGGAAAGACAAATCAGCAGTTTCATTGTGGCAGAAGAACCTGAAGCAACATAAGTAAGGAACAATTGATGCAGGGTTTTCCCTCCAGCTTGCTAAAGATTGGGTAGTCAGCAGAACTCTTTACAAAAATTATCCAGAGGTTATCCAAGATTGTGTGGAGATAGGGGAGGGGAGCCATATGTGCTGCTGCCGCCCAAACATCTCACGACCCACTGGCTCCACTCCCAGTCCTTCATGTCTACTGGGTTTGGCTAGAACACAATAGGTTCCTCCAGAATGCACATCATTTATCCTTCAGAACTTCCACCCAATGAATGACAGAGCTGGCAACAACTGTGATATTGTGGGCATGGCCAGTGTGTGACCTCACTCCCCCCCATGTGTTCTTCAAGGACAATTTCTGCATAAAATTTTACTTGGATGTAAATCCCATTGAAATTAATTACTTATTTCTACCAAAGCAATATATTTTAGTAATGTTATGACATTCTAGTGGAAGCAGCTGTTCAGGTTACTTTTTGACTGCTAGATATACATTTTGGCTCATAGCTGGAGTCTAATCTGGATGCCAGCCCTGATGAGATGTAACGAATATATGTAATTTTACCTGTAGAGTACATTTATGACACATCCAAGTAGTTTAGGCTCTCTAAATTGCACTAAAATCCTTGGGTGCATCCAGATGGGTGATTATTGTGGGACCGATGCTCCCAATGCATGAAAAGCTTTTCTTTTTGGCAGTAAGCACACAGTGTTGTTGCCATCAAAATGCTACCCTGTATCTCTCCCTCCCCAATTCAGATTTTCAATTACCAAGGAAAATCCATTAAGCTGAAAACAAATAAACACATGTTGTCAACAAGCCACATGTGATAACTCAGGAACCCATTTGCAATGCTAAGCCCCAAAATGGAAGCACCCCAAGTCTTACCTTTGCTTTGCTTCAAGGTTGGCTGAAGAAAAATCTAGAAGTCAACTTGTTCTCACAACTCTATGTGAGCAGCTGGTATTTATATTACTGTATAGTCATGTCCCAATGACATGGCTTTAACCATCAAAGAAAAAAAATCACTGGTCTTCATGAGTCATAATTTGTTAATGCCCAATAAGATTAGGAGTTTTGGTGTTGTGTCTGTGGTTTATCTGCAGAAATCCCTGGGCTATCTTTTCATTGTGATAAGAAGCGATTGTCAGAGGAACTGCCCCTAAGTATGTACTAATGCAGCAGTCTGGCTGATGACAAGGTCACTACCTCAATATCATCGGGGAAATAATACAGTATCTCCACTGCATTGAGTACCACAATGGCAGAAATTCCTAGGGTGTGCATCTGCTCTGGACAACCTGTACAGTGGCAACCTGTTTCAAAGAGTTGTGGACCTTGTTTGAAGCAAAGCAATCTCCTCCAACTGTGGGCTGCTTCTGACACTTCAGATCCATTCCTCAGATTTGGACACAGAATGAGACTGCGTGCAGCTTATTGAGCTCCAAATTATTAAGCTAAAATCCATGTACCTGGGAGTAAGTGAATTTAAAAACAGTGAATTTTATTTTTGACTCTACATTCACAGGATTGCACTGATAGGGATGGTTCCATGAAGATGACTGCCCCAGTCTGGGCTGATATGGTTGGATCTATATGCGATGGCCTTTGCTTATGACCATTATTGCAGGTGTTTTTTGTTCAAGACCACACGTTAGCCACTGGACTAAACAAATGCTATTCATTAATAAATTATGCCCAGGTGATCCCATTCATATCTTTACAAAGCTTAGGGAAGTTGACACTTACCCAACTCCTATTATTAAAGAAAGAAAAAAACCTTATTACCATCTCATAGTCAAGATCCACCCCATCCAAAATCCTCTGTTCTTACATTGCTTGCCTATTTTGAAACCTTACTTTCTAAATATTTGTCAGTCAGTAATCTTCTCCGGTTTAAAATATCCGAAGACAACACCCCAAAGTGAAACATCGGGAACACCACCCACCACAGATAATTATCTTCTTAGTTCAGGCTTCCATATCCCTCTGAGTAGATTTGCCACTGTGTCATCCAAATTGCTATAAAATTGGCAGGAAAGACAAATAATGTGTTTGGCAGTAGTGGGGAGAGAGAGCGAGAGAAGGCCTGCTAGGAATTCAACCACTCTTCCCCCAACCTAGTGCGCTCCAGATGTTTGGCGTACATCTTCCTTGACTGTTGACCATGCTGGCTGGGGCCAATTGGAGACGTGGTCCAAAACTTCAGAAGGACATCAGGTTACCAACACCAGAGTCAGTGTCAGGTGCTCCCAGGTACAGACCCAAGAATCTTTGGTCCCACGAGCAGCTCCCAAACCCTCACCACTGCTACACCGAACATCATCCTAGCAGGAAGGAAGGCTCTGGACTAGCTTTGTCCACCGAGGCTAGCCATTGGGTTATATTAGATAGGAAGGGGTTTAATATGCTTATTGTTTGGGCTAGGAATTTGTCTTGGTAACAAAGTCTGCCTGGTCCTGGAACATTTCTGTGCTACTCTTGACTGACTCCCATGCCTGGCCCATCATCTGGGACTTCTGGTTCATGGCTCACCTCTAAAATTTGCCTTTGAAAGTAAAATGATGGAGCAGCATTTCTTCCAACACTTCACAGATGAAAACAGGAACACACGTTACATCCAGTGAAGAACACAAGAACAGCCCAGTTAGATTAGGTCTGTCTGATCCAACATTCTGTTGTGTGCCAAGGCACCAGAGCCACAAAGTTCCCAGGAGAACAATAAAACATACTGTCAGAGCTGGCTCCAGGTCCCAGCTCACAGAGGACCAACGCTAGCCGGCAGTAATGTGCAAAAGTCTTTATTGAAGTACAGTTTCCATTTTCAAGCCGGAGCGCCCCAGCTCTACGTCTAGGGGTTAGATCGGCGAGCTCCATCTGAGTCTCCGCCCCCTGTACACCAGTTTAAGATTCTAGCCTTACTCCACCTCTTACGTCTCTCCTTTCTCCTCTGGGTCCTGCTACCCCCCCGGGGTCCCTTCCTTCCTGGATTCTTCTGACGCTGACCCTCCGGACGCCTCCCCCCTCTTTTCGGCGGGCTTTGGGACCTGGCTCCCTATCCGGGCTGCCAGCTGCGCCGCCCTCCTGTACATTTGAACTTGGCGCGCGCGCCCAGCCTTCAACCTTCCTCTCGACCGTTTCCTCGCTCCCCGATGGAGGCGTGGCCAATCCTGACTCATGTCCTCCCACTGGCAGTGCGCCGCCTGATCCCGATGCCTGGGACTCCTCCCCGGTACTGCACTCTGGTGTGGACGCTGGTCCTGATTTCCAACTGCTGCTCTCTGAGTCCCCTCTGGCCCCTTCTTCCTGGGGTGTCCCCCTCGGCACCCCCCTTTCTGTGAATCTTCCGATTCGCTGGAAAGACTCAGAGACCTCGGACCGCTGTCATCGCTAACATTTCCTTCGGACTCCTCCCCCTCGCTCTCTATTTCCTCCCTTTCCTGTGCCTCTGCTCCTGAACCCCTGACATCCATCCCCCCCACGAAGCCCCCCCATCCCCCCACCCCACCGTCAGGTGTGGGTACTGGGTGCTCCGTCGTTGTGGGGGTGAGTGCCGGATACAGTTCGTCCCCCGTGGCGTGCATCCAGCCGGATAAGTCCGGCTCGTCCTCCGTGCTCTCGCCGACCTCAATTTCCTCTGCTTCCATCTCTTTGCCGCCGTGCTCGCACCCAAGGTCCTCCCCCCACACGTCCAGGACCGTCTCGCCCCCGGGCTCCTCCGGGGACGTTGCCTGCGAAGGACGCCCCAACCACTTCCTGCGCCACTGCTCCTCTGGTTTATTTTCCCACCAGTCAGGAACGGTCTGAGGCAGACCCCGAGGGTGATCCCTCCCGGGAACGTGTTTCTAGTGCCGGTTCCTCGTCCGAGGTGAACCCCTGGAATGTGCTAGCTGAAAATGTGGGTGTGAAAAGCCAGTCGTCGAAATACTCGGCTGGCATGGGCCTGTGTGGGAAAAGGGCATGGAACTCGTCCTTAAGCCAAGATTCCTCCAGAGCATAATCTGGCACCCAACTGTTGGCGCTAGCCGAGGTACCTTCCTTGGCGAGGAGGTATTCCACTCCCTCCTCCCCCATCTTGTGTCTAAAATCTCTTTGAATTCGTTGACGGGTTCCCAACTTGGCTTCCCCCACCCATTGTGGGCTTTTCCCTGATCGGGTCTGGTGCCGTTCCTGGCTCCTGAAATCTATGAGGTGCTTTGTAGGGCGTGAGCACTGATCTATGGAAAACTGGGTGCATTCTGGATCCCTCCGGCAGTGTCAACCGGAAGGCCACTGGATTGACCTGTGCCTCGACTTGGTAGGGTCCTAGCTGCTTATGCCCTAGCTTCTTCTTCGCTAACGATCTGGCCGGCACTGCCTGGGCTGCTAACCAAACCCAGTCTCCCACCTGTATGTCTTCCCCAACCCTTCTGTGCTTGTCAGCCTGCAGTTTGTATGCGTGCTTTGCTAGTTCTAACTGCCTCCGAGGCTGTTCGTGAACCTCCTGCAACTCTGATGCTAAGGCTTCCGCTGCCTGTGGCTCCCCCTCCCCCTCTCTCGCTAATCCCGGGAAGGTTCTGGGATGCCTCCCGTTGTTGGCGAAGAACGGTGTCACCACCGTGGACACGTGCTTCGTGTTGTTGTAGGCGAACTCAGCGAGCGGCAGGTAGTCCACCCATGTTGCCGGCTGCTGATTTGCGTAGCATCGCAGGTACTGCTGCATGATGGCGTTGACTCGCTCCGCTTGTCCGTTCGTCTGCGGGTGTCTCGCCCGGCGCTAGGTTGATCTTGACGTTCAGGAAACCCATCAGCTTCTGCCAGAAGTTCGAGATGAACTGTCGCCCCGGTCGGACAGGATAGACCGTGGCAGACCGTGAACCCTGAACACGTGGTCTATGAACAGTTTGGCGGTCTGTTCCGCCGTGGCCACCTTCGCGCACGGAATGAAGTGGGCCATTTTGGTGAACATGTCCACCACCACTAGCACTGCCGTCTTGCCCCTCGAGCTGGGTAGATCCGTGACAAAGTCCAGGGCCACCCTCTCCCACGGTTCGAGCGGTGTCTGCAGCGGTTCGAGCAGTCCCGCCGGCGGTTTGTGCACTGACTTGGCCCTTTGGCAGGTGTCGCACCTCGAGTCGTATTCCGCGACTTCCCACCTCTTCTTGGGCCACAATAAATCTCTGGCTACTAATTCTACCGTCTTCTCTTTGCCAAAGTGCCCGGCGGTGGGTGCGTCGTGCAACTGCTGCAGTACTTTCGCGCGGAGGTCGTCTCCCGGTGCGTAGAGGGCCCCTCTGCGGATGAGCAATCCGTCGCGTATCTGGAACTCGTCGTCCTCCGCCGTGCCCCTTTGCACCTCTGCCATCTTTGCTTGCGCGAAGGGGTCCTCCTGCAGTGCTCGCCGTACAGCATCCAGGTCCACGGTTGCTGAAGCGCACGCCCACGCTTTCGGTGCGAAAATGTGCTTGGCCGCTGCTGGTGCCGCCTCCTCGAGGTATTGCGGCTTTCTGGACAGTGCATCCGCCATGATGTTGTTGTCGCCTGGGATGTACTCTATCCTGAAGTCGAAATCCGCAAAGAACTCCGCCCATCGTATGTGCCTCTGGTTCAGGAACCTTGCCGTGCGCCAGTACTCCAGGTTTTTATGGTCCGTGCGGACCTGCACTGTGTGTTTGGCTCCAATGAGGAAGTGCCGCCACGCCTTGAATGCTGCATGAATGGCCAGCAACTCCCTGTCCCAGATGGTGTAGTTCTGCTCTGACTTGCTGAGCTTCCTGGAGTAGAAGGCACACGGTCTCCAGTCCCCATGCGGGTCTTGCTGCAACAGTACTGCTCCCACGGCTCTGTCTGAGGCGTCCGTTTCAACCCTCATCGGTCTGCTGGGATTCACATGCAGTAGCTGCTCTTCGGACGAGAAGAGACGCTTGAGTTTCTGAAAGGACTGTTCCGCTTGCTCCGTCCAGATGAACTTCTTCTTCTTGGAGCTGAGTGTGTCGGTAATGGCTGCCGTCTGCATCGCGATGCCTGGGACTCCTCCCCCCTACTGCACTCTGGTGTGGACGCTGGTCCTGATTTCCAACTGCTGCTCTCTGAGTCCCCTCTGGCCCCTTCTTCCTGGGGTGTCCCCCTCGGCACCCCCCTTGCTCTGACCAAGGGGCCCCTTTCTGTGAATCTTCCGATTCGCTGGAAAGACTCAGAGACCTCGGACCGCTGTCATCGCTAACATTTCCTTCGGACTCCTCCCCCTCGCTCTCTATTTCCTCCCTTTCCTGTGCCTCTGCTCCTGAACCCCTGACACATACTGACAG